CGACACCTAAGATCTTCAAAAATCAACATTTTTTGACGAAGTGTGATTAAAATAAAAATGATCATCATCATTAATTTTTTTTAAACCAAATAGGCAAAAAATCCTCCTCAGGCAATTTCTCGCGGTTGTCTCAGTTCGCGTCAGAATAAGTAAGAAGTGTTATACGTATCTGCGTTTCCACAGCATTTCAGCGTTTTGTCAACTGTACATTAGCCGACCAGACATAACTGTCCGTGTTTACGTCAGTCGTCCGAGATGTCAAGTTAGTCCAAGCCGTTTGTCAGAGACTGATGAGAAGTCATCAGGGCTTTGTTCATTGGTTCTTCCCAAGAGTCTTTGTGGTAAATCTCTGCTATTTGTTTCATCCGTCGGTTACAGTATGTTACGTCATAAGGTTAAAAAAGGTCGTTACCTTCAAAGAAAAGCAAAGGAGTTTAGAGGTTGAAGAGGTAGTGGTATATCTGTTAAAGCAAAGTCTGAAGTTGGGCGATAAATCGTTACTTGAGCGTGAATTGATGAATTCATCTTGAAATCATAGATTTTGGCTGCAATACGGAGTGTAACGGATGTTTCTTTGGATATTCACGGGAAAAGTAAAGAAAAGCACGAATAATTATAAATGTCTTAATAAATAATGAAGCCTTGACTCTGCTCTGGAAAAGCCAGGGAAAAGTCCCGGAAATGGTCGGACATTGTACAATTTAGCAGATGGCGTGACAGCTTTAGCTCAGCTCTATGCTTTGTACTCTAACCAATGACGACGCGCGTTGTATTTGAACTTTACTATAATAATTTTTGGCTGAAAAGAAAAAATCCTCATCCGCATTCAGGAACTTCAATTAATATTTAGCATACTTCAGAATTTTACTTCACTTTCGTCAGGTTATTCATTTGTTATTTACTTTAAATGGGAAAGTATTGCTGAAATAAAGTCTAGTGTGATACTTAAGTCTAAGCAAAAGGAATTAGAGTCTTTTGTACGTAATGGTTTCTTTGCAAACCTCCATTTCGAGGGTCCATACAAGCACAATGTGAAAGCCCCGACAAAGAGGAATTGGGGTGATCTATTTTCCCGCCTTATGCCGACCGTCGTCTTCGCAGCTCTAACCACCTTGAAAAGTCCAAAATCTTTTTCTATCGTTGTTGGGAATCTGTCTTCTCATCGTGAATGCTCATCCTCAGCCGAAAATGTGAAAAGCGAAAATGATTTCTGTCGAGAAATATGAGCAAAATTCCTTGAATATAAAATGAAAGACAACAGAGTCTTAAGTGCAACTCGTACGGACAAGATTGTTCCTCTTTTCAACTATATCTAAGTACTTTAATGGTGACCAAGCGGACTCCGCAGCAGTCAAGGAAAATATTGTAAGAATTTAGATTTATGCCATTCCTTCTTTACATTCTCGTAACTACTTTTCTGTGAAAACTGTCTAAATCGTTATATTTATTTTGGTAGAGGATGAGTTCGACACATTGAACAAAAGACTCTTCTAACTTTGGGGCTGTTGCAGGTTAGACTTAATCTTAGCTAAAGTACGTTCAACTCTCAAGAAGTAAAAATGTATGTAATACATCTGCCATATTAGAATTCTATTAGTACCAAGGCCTCTTACCAGTTAAGTCTAAAATTTTGATCGAGTCTACTCGGCTGCTTGGTTTGTCCTGCTCAATATTTAAATGGAACATGAACCACAGAATATTTTCCATCCCGGTAAATTATGCGAAGGAATTCTTTACCATAATACCAGATTTACGGAAGTCCTAAATACTTTACACTCCTACAGAAGAAACAAAGCATTACGATTTTCTTTATTAAAGAAAGTTTGCCACACCTTTCTGAGCTAATTTACATACAAAGTTGACGTCACATAAATAAGCCAATCACAGTGTCAATCTATCCAACATAAAACCTAAGTTTATTTCGTGTTCTCTAATAATGAGAGTGAGATGAACTTCAGGTACATGTCAATGTGCTGTTAATAAAGCTGATGGATATTGATTACCATGGTGACAAGTTCTTTGACATGTACTTGTTCAACCTGTTCATACCACCAGTTTTTTTTTTATTGTTTTCGGCACGCTCCAAAAGTCTTTAACCATATAAGTTAACGCCGTTTCACGCTATGAACAAAAAAAGTATCGTTTAAATAACTCGTCATGTTATGATCCCTTAAAATCAAGGAAAACACTGAGGCACCGCATTATGATAAGCCCGAGATGGTGAAATTAATGGACGACGAGAAAATTGTAAGTTTAATGTCATCATTTCATGTAAATAAACCCAAAGCACATTTATTTAACTCTTTCCTTCTCTACTCGGAGAAAAACCTACGGCGTGTGGTATGAGAGAGTATATCAATTACTGCCTTAACTCAGAATATTTACAGATGGATGTAGAACGAAACCAAATTTGTGCTTTATGTACAAAATGTATGTTAACTCCTAAGAAATTGCATAGCTAAAGCAAAATAAGAGTTCACTGGTAAAATTATCAACATAAAAAAGCATCTATTTAGGATTCAATCGTTCAAATACTTGTAAACGATAAATATTCTAGTTACAAAGAGAATTATCATAATGCCTTAACGCACTGTTTTTTTGGTTTTTTTTTGTTACTTTGTTACCCCATCTTGAATCCTCCAAGTGGAGAAAAGGTTTGTGAAGAAAATAACTTATTCCAGAAGGGAAAATGAAAAAAAATGACAGCCCGAAATGCAAGCAAGTTCCCTTTCGAAAACAAAAGCATTGACAGTTGATATCTTTCTTCATTCGAAAACCTTTATTTTAAATTTCCATCTTTCTCGTAATTCAACAGCAGTATCTTCCGACTGTACTGATCCTAGCAGTATGCAAGAGGGGTGATATTTCCCTTCCTCTCCGCGTAGAAAACAAATGAGACATCGACCATTGTCCTAAACCCCGTAAAAAAACCAAATGGTCTGGTTTGTTGCATCTCATTTGTTAATATGGTGTTTCTGAAATTCAAAAATTTGGTCCTTTTCTTCCATTTTCAATGGGAATTGAAACATTGTAACTTTTGCAATTGCAAGCCGGAAATAAAATCTTAGAGTGAAATACTTAGTTTGTAAGAATGATTTCCTATGGCATAATGGGTGCGACTCATTCATACAGTGGATGTATCACTTGCATCTTACTAAATGCAGATATCAATGTCGTCATGGTAACGGGGTTTCTTGATACTGCATCTCGACGACATTTATTCAAAAGGGTTTTTTTAAGACCAATTTATGAACATTGCTAAGGTTTAATTCACCCCATTATTTTTTATTTCATCATTTACCTTTTTTAACAGAGAGAAAAATAGGTTTAACGCGAAGTTGGTTTTTAATGAAAAAATTTATCGGCATGTTTTTCTGCAGGCTTAGTTTACGTGCAGACAATCTCTGCATCCAGTGTCTTGACATGATTCTGAATTTTCCTTGATTTAAATATGCAGCTGAAATCTGATGTACGTTAAACAGTTAAATTGCACGTTCGTTTGTAGATACAAATTTATCTCTTCGAGTCGATATTATTGTCAACTTAAATCCACGCACGGCCATGTAATATCCTTAACATATTTTTCACAAAAACCTTTACATACGCCTTATGATATCCATATATTCATGTCAAGAATGAAACGTTTCATGTCAAGAATGACACGTTTTTCTTGAGCAGCATTTGCTGGATACAAGAAACAATCTCACATATCGTAGTTCTTATTGTGCGACAAGCAGCGTTCGTACACAAAAACATTTGTTCTCTCGCCAGCAAGTGGCATCTAATATTCTTGCCAGTACGATGGCAGTCTTTGAGTTGAAGACTCGCTTTTTGGGGGGATTTTTTTGTGCAAGTTAACGCGCTTTTGCTTTGGTGGTGTTTTGACCAATTATTTTTTGAAGAGTATTTTTGTAACCACTTGAGAACATTTTTCTGTCTGCCACGACAGATAAAAAGAAGGGTCATGCATGTGGTCCACTTGACCAGGTAATGAAATACTTCCTATTATGAAATCTATAATTACACTTCGGTCAATTGCAATTGTTTCAAATAACTTCAAGATCTAATAATCATGATAATTAAACATGTCCAAGGCATTTCCCCTTGAACATCTCTAAATGACCATCTGTACCAGTTCATCTTTGTATTTGTTAATCCGAAAATAGGAAAATACTTTAGAGACAACTTTTGATTACCAAATTAACACACTCAAGAATCAAGTGGAAATGAAGAAAAAAATCAACAAATATCAAAACAATTCTTAGCCCATCTCACTTTCTTGTCACGCTCATTCTTCGGCTACCATCAAAACTCCATACTAAGTTTTCATCGATACACTTAAAAATCTATCAAATCGCAAATGTTATGGCGTTAAAAGGGCAGGTTTGCGTGCATGAAATTCAGTCTGTTAACAGACATTTTTTAGTGAAAAATTCACCAAAATGTCAAGGGGCATCTCAATTAAAGTCAACAATTTACAACATTAATCATGTTAACGGCGCGCAAGGCATGTTATTACAGACCCTAGTAAAGGATCACTCAACCGTGAGATGCACGTTTTATTTTTTTTAATTCCGAAATGGTGCCAGGAACCTCTTTAAAGGTTCGCGCCTTTTCTTGACAGGCCGTGCCTGCCACCGGCGTTTTTCAGGTTTGTGAGTTAGGTCATATTACGCAATTACTAATTATCAGGTGGTACTATTGACTTTCACACAAAACATTAACACCAGCCAATCAGGCTTCAGTTTCTGTCGCCATGACGATCGCCGAAGGGACCAGATTGAGTCTCAATTATGACATCAATCAAGTGGCATGGGATTACTCACTGATCAAGAACGAGGCGTGTGGTAAATCACCTCCCGCCGAAATTCACCCCGACCGCCGAAGATTGGAAGATTTTAAACAAAGTCAGCCATCCATGCCAGTTCCTTTGGGTGAGTACTTAAAATCCGCAATGTGAAGGAGACAAAGGAGAACGAGGCGCCTGTAGAGTAGTTTAGATGGAAGAAACGAGCGACACTCCCTTCTATCAGGATGAGGGGATTTCATCACACATTATTTCGCCCTACCTCTTTGACAAGTCAGCCTTGCACTTAAACTTACAGCCTTTGGCGGAGGATCCAAAGATTGGAGATCTAAAAAAACATGCAACGCCTTCGGAGCTACGGTCACCCGATCTGGGTTTGCTTAAGCTTGGTTCACCCGAACTGGAGAAAATGATCATGTCTTTGCAGGGAAATGTGACAAGCGTCTCGAATGTTAGCTCGCTCTTTAACTCAAACGTTCACGCACCGGTCAACGCAGATCACGATCACGAACCATATTCACGTGGGTTCACCGGTGCGTTGCAAGACCTACACGATCGACAGATTAGCAGAGAGTCTTCTCTTATAGATTTAGCGGACAACGCCGCGGAGTCTACGGATCCATTTTTAGGGCACACTACCGTGAGAAATGCATCCTTTTTGACGACAGTACCGGCGGCTACGATAAGAACTTCAACGGAGTCTGTCGTGTATTCTTCAAACTCTTCGCGCGTGGATGCTAATGATTTCTTTGCGAGCAACGGAGGGTCTTTTTCTGCCCCTGTAAAAGGAGGCACAATTTATCCTTATAATGCCTCAGGTGTACCGGGCTACACGACGTTGTATTCGTATCCATCAGAAAATCCTCCATATTCCGCTTATCAAGATTTTAATCTTGAGAACACCGCCAATTTGCGTGCTTTTGCGTCTTATAATAACGCGCTTGCTCAAGAAAAAACGGAATTGTCTGGGTACAAATTGGAAAATCAAGGGCAGATAGTTTCCGATCATGGATCTTTGCAACCAATTGATCTGGAAGTTCAAGAGATCGTGAAACGAGAGCGGAAAAAGCAACGGAACAGAATCGCTTCTTCTAAGTGTAGGAAGAGGAAACTGGAACGCGAGGCGAGGTTGGAAACACGGGTCAAAGAGTTAAAAGAGAGGAATATTGAATTAAACGCGGTAGCCAATGCGCTTAAACAGCAAGTCTGTGATTTGAAGCAAAGAGTCATGGATCATGTTAATGAAGGCTGCCAAATTATGCTAGCTCACCAATCCCAAATGTAACCAACAGGTATCTTCAGTCATTCCAAGGTACGTGTGTAAATTAACAATTGTTGATAAGCATGTTTGACAAGCGTAAAATCGCAACCACTTCAACTAAACAAATTGCACGGGTGACTTTGTTACGTTTGGTGTAAGGAGAGAACAGAGTTGATCTGTATCTATTCGCCTTTTAACACAAAATTTTCAAGATAATTCACATACATCTCTAGTTATATTTGTTCTCGTATCGTAAGTTTTCCTTGCCAGGTAACGTAGTTAATTTGAGAATTACCTCATCAAAGAAGAATACATAAAACTCATTGTAAATAAGCCACTTTATCAAAAGACCGGTTTAGTTTTCATCTAAGAACGGTTGAAGACCTCATTTTAATAGAGAAGTTTAGCTTAAACAGATATTTATCCCCGGGATAACTTGTATATAGTTGCGATCCGCAACGGTTTAAGATTTAACGCTTTTGCGCATGCGCAAAACAGAACATTACAGGCTTCGCTGTCACGATGGCTGGAAGGAGTGGGAATGCTTTCTCAGTCTCAAATTTTGACTCATCTCCGAAGGAGTTTGAAGAATATTAATGCACGCTAAGTTTCTGTTACAACAGAATTCTCTTCTTCCGATAAAGACATGTTATCTAATACGAGGAATTTTTCTCATTCGAAGAGCGCGTAGTCAACCAATAAACAGACTTAATACGTGTTATTTATCACAAGAATCTTTTCCCTTCTTTGAGCCAGGTTGTTGGAAAAAACTGCCGAGCCATTCTTAGTCTCCCTAGCTTTTTGCAGTTTCTTTTTTGCATTGCGATTCTTTAACTTGTGCGTAACCAAACTAACTCAAGTTTCGCGTCTCTCTCGACATTGTTTCTTTAATTTTAAGTTTCCAGAAACGTTTCTCTTTGAATTTTGGGATTTGAAGATTCAGGAAAAACTATTATGGTCTTGACATGACTAAAATTGAATTCTTGAGATACAAGCTTAATTACCGTAAGTTATGATGTAATCCTCAGCCACTCGAAGAAGAGATTTCACCTGAGAAATTTACCAAAAAATTGTCTACTACACAAAATGTTACATAATGGTTTTTCCCCTGGAAACTGCAAGATTAGTAGCTCCAGGACTAACAATGCCACGGCAGTTTTTATTGTCTGCTGACATTTACTTCATTAAGATTTCACGTGGGCTCAAAAATTTGCACATAATTTATTTTTGCTACGATTGTAAATATATTTCCAAGGTTTGTTTTTTGTGTTGGTTTAATTATTAGTAAATAGCAAAGCTATTTGAGTATTTTAACTTCTTTTTTGCCGACACTTTCCTTTTTGGGAAAGACTGGTGTTGAAACATTGACTCAAGTGAGTTACTAAATGTATAAAAAAACTCTTATGAGCAATAAATCATTGTAACAAAAGTCTAACGTAAGAGAACAAACTATGATAAGGAGTTCTACATGAACGCCTCATTCCAGAAGTAATCCCTTTCAAGCTATTTTTTGACGAAGGCATCTTTCGATTTGTCTTGAATTTACCATCATGCATTGTTCCCCACCAAAATTGATCTCGTTTCTTGGTTCTCTCTTCTTTCCGTTTGGTTCGGAAACGAGAAGGGGCCTGGGAACGAGGCTACAACTAAACATTCTAGCTAACAGACACTAAGTCTAAAGATAATTTGAAAAGGGATATATTTCTCCTTATTAAGGAAAATATACAGGGAAATTATTTTCTTAGCTGATTTTCTTTTGCCGATTCTAACTTGTTTCATAGGGCAACAAGGCATTTTATTCAAAACTTAGCGAGGTCACCGCAATAAATGAACTGAACACCTACTTTCATGCAAAGCAGTTGCTATAAATTTGACATTGCAATTGGTGTATAAGCCTGGAAACAAGTGAGAATTGTACAGGAAATTAAAGTAGACCAGTTATTGCTTAAATCTCGAATTTTGCTTTATCAATGGCGGAGTCTCTTTGGTAGTTTCTTAAAGGTGCCTACCACAAGTCACTGAGAACTTGCAGGCGAAGACGAAACTGAAGAAATTTCCGTAATTTTTAAGAACTGAGTCCAACCAGATCAGTTGTTTTTAATGACAGCCTTCACTTTGATGGAATCGTAAAAAGTCGATCACGGGAATGCCGTTAATAAGAACGATTTCGATACTCAATGCAAGACTACTCTCAGTTCGTTAACTGAATACACACGTTTAGAAGGAATAGTATCATTTACGCATATTTATTCACGAATCTTCAACTTATTAAAATTTCCTCCTTGAAATATTAAATATTCGTTAATTCCCATATTAAAGCACAATTGTAAGATTTAAGCTGCAATAAATATCACACATTTATCTTTAACTTCCGTTTCTCTGAATGGATTAAAAGTCGGAGGAGGAAAAGTTCACAGACTGAATCCCTCTAAACAGGGCCTATTAAAAAAAACTCCCTCCCAAGTAAAAAGTATTTACCGAGGCGGAGGTGGCTAGTGGTGGATATTTAACGAGCCGCGAAGCGAAAATAGAGCATTTATTTTCATGTATATAGCGATTACTCCATGGAAAGTGCGCCCGAACAATTTTTATTCACGTGTTACGATGCATCAAGAAACGAACGAGTAAACACAGCGAACGAGTGAGTTTTTTAATGTATCACAGCGAGCGAATAAAAATCGTTCAAACAATTTCCAAGGTAAGATGTTCTTATTTCATACATGCTGAGATTCTGCACATTTCAATTGAAAGATTTGAAGCCACCGACTGTGAAAATACATCGTTCACCTAATCGAAGACACGAACAACAATACTTCACAGTGTAGTTCGCAGTATGTATTAAATTATAATACGTGTACTCAGAGGCAACTCCTAAAAGCAACTGCTCTAAGAGAACAGAACCTATGTATCTGTTGGCGCAAAAATTGCTCGCGCTCCGAATATAATCGCAACTCTAGTTGTGACCGTAATCTGCAACCGCAACAATTTAAAATTGCGCGTGAACTACGCAATCAGACGCAATAAAAAGCTGTGCACGCGGACTGCGCAATTTAAAGCTGCGCACACGAGCTACGCGATGGAAAGCTGCGCGCGCGGGTTTTACCATTTAAAGCCTGGTTAACAAGTAAGACGTAAAAGCAAACGCAAACCGCGCTAACCACGCAACATAAAGCTGCATGCGCGATATATCCAATTAAGGACTGCATGCGTAAATTATGCAATTCAAAACTGTGGCAGGAACTACGTAATGAAATCTACGCGCGCGATTAACGCTGCACGCACAAACCACGCAACAATCGCTGCGCACGTGAGCTATGCAATTTAATATTGCACGCGTAAACTACGCAACATAAAACTTTGCGCGTGAACTACACAATCTAAACTGCACGCGCGAACTACGCAACATAAAGCTTTGCATGTGAACTACGTAATTCAGAAGTGCACGAACAAACTACATAATTAAAAGCTCAGCACGCGATTAAGGCTACACACGCGATTTACGCAACATTAATCTGCATGCCCTTTTTTTTTTTACTTAATATATTATTAAAGCTAACTTAAACGAAAGTATCTTCCTGTATTACAAGTTCTTTAGTAAGTTTGCAGCCAAGTTCTCACGGTGTTATTCGTGATTTAATGCTGTTTACTCGGATTAGTCCACATAAGCAATAGTAAAGTGGACGTGTTTTTGAATAAGAGAACACCAAGTCATTAAACCAGAACAAAACCTGGTGGTGGGGGAATAGGAGGTGATTTTAACTTCAACAGAGAGTTATACAACGAATTTCTACCTCAAACACAACGACAATTGAACTTATGAAAAAACGATAAAGTAAAGCTAATACTTGGCGTATATCAGGATCGACCGGACAGCTAGGAAGGGTTATTTTCTCTAAGTTAGACAGGTCTATATTTCAGAATAGTTGAGCTAAAAAAGGACATATGATTACCAGTCGGCTTACGACAAAAATCCTTCTTAAAATATTGATTTAATTCTTTTAAAAACTATATTTATATTCATTAATATTTAATATTTAAGACTCTCATGCTCTTAAGTGAGAGATTTTCTTTCTTAAAAAGTAATATTCTGTCAAAAAATAGTTTATTTTAAATCCTACTTTAGCTTCAACATCAAGAAATTTAACATTAAAGGAGAGAGTACCAGTTATATCTTTAATGACTCATTTGTTTTCAATGTTAATTTCATAGAGCCATTATACTTCTTCAACATAGCTATATTGGCCCTGGAAAGTTTTCTTTCTTTTGGTAGAAATTTTGGTTTTAATAGAAATTAAATGACCCAGTTTACAGCATTTGATTTTTGTGCAATTTTTCACAGCAGAGTATTTCACTACGGTTTTTCCATGGCTATGCCCAAGGTAAATATCCCACTTACACGAAACTTAAGTTCTATTTCACACCTTTTTGAGCCGCGAAATCGATGGTCGCTTTATCTAATATCACATGTCCAGTTCATCTCACAGCATTCACCTGGAATACGCTTAACCTTCAGTGAGGGATTGATGCACCCACGCGGCACCGGAGGAGGGCCTGGGCACTGTTTATCGTGAAGGAAGCCATTTCTACATTCCATGACCACTGCACATGACGCATCAGTGAGTTTCTCTCCGTGCGATAATTTTAGGCCATCATATTTACAACTTTTATCTGTGGAAGGTAAAATTTGATTGTAACAATACTTCGTATAAATTAGGTGAGGCGTATAGTCAACGACAAGGGCTGGTTTTTGACCATTCAAATTACTTCACCTTCACCCGTACATATTTTTCGACCGCTTATTGTAGCATTAGTATAATTTTCTTCCTCTTCGGCGAGTAAAGTGATTACTTACGTAAAGAATACCAAGCACATATAAGCGTAAAGTTAAGGGACAAATTCTTTTCTCGTAGCTATCATAGATGTTTTACTAACTCTATTATAACACATTTATTTTGGCTTTTTTCCTAATTTTATGTATTTTAAAAGCTTAAGCTAACTCCTCGACCAACATAGATGCAATGCACCCAGAGCTGAACGCAGTCACTAGCTGAATACTCGTGTCTCCCTGTGCTAGATTCGATTAACATGACGTGCTTCTTAAAGATCTCAAAGGTCCCTTGTAATATTTTCGTTTGCAGTTGTAATAAAATGAGTTGGATCTTTACGATATTCAAAAATTTCAGCTTTAGTTAACTTCGCACTGTTTTAAATTTTCCCTCAAAGACACATTTGTTGAAACAATTTCCGCTAAGATCATTTTCCGGTAACAACATAGATGGTTCTTCCCTCTCGAATGACCGTCTAAAACACTCCATATTTTGCATCGCTCTGGAGTATATCGATTTATTTTCCCCTTAATTTTACGCTTATTTGTGCCTGGCATCCTTTAAGTGAGTAATCACTATACCTACCAAAGTGAAAGAAAATTATCCTGATGCAACGATCAGCGACAAAAAGAAATTGGGATGTTAAGTAAAATAACGTTTCCTAAGTCCTTTGAATGGAGGGAGAGACAAGCACCACGGTAACTACCAGGTAAAAAAAATTGGCGTCCCAAGACTTTTGTAAATGGGCTAAAGGTGAATATTAGTAATATCAGTAAGGTACCGACTTAATTTCCAACTACCTGAACAGACCCAAAGTTTCTTGCAACATTTTCCAGGCACACTAATGGTCTTCAATTTGGGTCGCGCACAGTCCTTGGGTTTTTGTGGTATTTTTGGGCAGTATTCCATGTGTAACTGACCATTATAACAGCTCAAAACTCCCGTACATAATGGATCACTCAACTTGTAACCGTGCTTGATAACACGATTATTGAAAGTACAGTGTCTTGCTGTATTCAAAGAGATAAAAACCAAACAGTAAGTAACCATACACTTAACTATTCGCTCTTTGAGCTAACGAATGAATATAAAAGTAGGTTTGCAGAAGAATAGCGGGAATTACATTCGAGCACCTTCACTTTCTGAAATGAGTGAAACTTAGAACGGCGAGTGCGACGTAACAACATAGCCGCTCCCAGTAAAAATTTCGTTTTGCCGGCGTGGTAGTTTCATTCACAAACAAGGTCAAGTAAAAGAAAATTACACGAAAAATTTCAATGTTCTCAGCTTTTGGGCTTGATTTCCTCAAATTCCAGGGTAGCTGATTACACCTGCTTCCAGAATTCTTTGAAACTTGTGTGGGTAGTGTGGAGATGCCACATAGCCGCCCTTGAAATTTATATTGCTTGTGTGACATTTTCATGAAAATAGAGCGGAAAAAAATACTTATATTCTCCTCGTCTATCCTTAGATTTTTCTAATTTTCATTATATTTGGTTATGGTTTGTCATGTGTAAAAGTTTGATTAATTGTTTGTTCTTCTCCTTAATTATACAATCCATGCTGAACTATTGGAAACATTGGTTTTTTTTTCTTTTCCTTGTAAACAGTAGAGGATGAGAAAGACACAATGATGAAAGCCCGGTGAAGGTTTTTTAAAAGGTTAAAAGCACAGTAGAAACAAGGTTCAGTCGGGATAGTTTAACCCTTTACACCCTAACATCAGTATGCACAACCTCCATACTGTCATCTATACATTTCCGAAGGTGCTGACAAGGAGAATTTGTTTAACAATCAAGAGCTTCTTTAGCTGGTGATCATTTCCTTTATTCTCATGATCTTAAATGAATGATTCAGCAGTGTTACTGTCAGGAGAAACTAGATGCTGGTCACTCTTAGGGTTTAAAGGGTTAACTTCTACAGAAATAATAATGTCATTTCTTTTACATCATTTATATAAAACAAGTCTATCACCTTTGCAATTCCATTTCATTGTACAGCATTCTCCTTTTCTGTGTCTTACCACCAGTCGAGGCTTGGTGCAATCATTTGGTTTAGGTGGAATTCCCGGACATTTTTTCACAGTAGCTATGCCATCTTTGCACGTGACAACTCCTCCACAAAGCTCACCACTCCACTGTTCATTGTTTTTCAGCGTAAGATTCCCGTATTCACAATGGAACACTGAAAAATAGAGATAAATAACTATGTGATTCCTCCATGTGTGGGAATATCCACTATGTTCATGAGTTAATCTAACTAGAGCACACTGGAACAACGGGAAACATCTCAATGAGAACTCATCCGGAATGACGAATATTTTAGAGCGCTATTCGACCGAGTGTCGTGAAACCAAAACTTAAGTGTACAAAACAGTCAAAAGAAAGTAAAACACCTCTAAGAGCAAATATGAACTTAAAATAAAACTAGTCAAACAACCTTAAGCGCGGGAAAACGCGGGCGACCAAGTCGTGATTGGTGTCAGTTTTGCATCTGATTGGTTGAGAGAGTGGCGCAAATTTTCTGGGCCAATCACAAAGCGAAGTAAACCAAAACTAAAGTAACTCCTGATTACTTTCAAAACTCAATCTAAAATTACTCAAATCCATTTTGCTCTGTGATTGGTTTTGAAGAAACACGTGACCCTCTCAACCAGCACTGTGCGAAAATAGAGACTAAACGCCACTCTCGCTTCCCGTGCCGATGTTATGTGTTATTTTGAGTTCTCATTGCCTCCTAATGATATTTTCCTAACTAACTTTATCCATTGTGATTCCCAAAGTTTACGATTTGATTTAAAACACCTGGGTCCGGTTGTATAAAGGCCAGATAACACTATCCAACGGATAAAACGCTATCTGGCGGTTAAGTGTTAAGTAAACGTACTGTGCTATCCACCGGATAGAGATTTATTCAGTGGTTAGCGTTATCCATGTTTCAAACAACCGGGGCCTGAAGGAAATATGCTTCAGGGCCCAGTTTCTGCGTAGTTGTTTCTAAAAAATCTAAATAAGGGATATCTACCTCGGTTCTTCTCGATTTCTCCTCTCTTTTGCCCCTTACTGACAAGCCCAAGTTCAGAGAATACGAAATGTGGATGAGGGATTGGTACAGGTTCGCAGAGCTCCTTGCTGTAACAGGCCACACCAAAACAATGCCCATCAATCAAAAGCGCAACGTCACACGTGTGCTTACTGCAACACCGCTGAAGGCAAGCGTGCATGCTCGGGGTCTCACCCAGAGTATCAAAATGTCCAGCTCTTGTGCTGCCTTTTAAGGAATGGCCAGAAAAAATCTTGTCCGTATGACACATCTGTGATGAACCTGAACAATAAAATGGAAATTTATAAGTACAGGGATACGATAACAATTCCTGAGCATTCAAAACTGGTTTTACTCGTTTTACTCACTTGTTATTTTTTCTACGAATAATTGCGAAGTGTATCGGGGTCTTAGGGTAATCGAGGCTGGGAAAATGAAATTATTTTGAACAGGAGCTTTGAGTTACCACTTTGAAGGCAACATGCGAAGAAGTGTAGTGGAATCGATTCTTACAAGAATTGCTGTTTTAACAGCTTGACCCCTTAGAGTGATTAGCGTCTAATTTTACCCTTACAGTATCACCGAGTCAAACTTTAGGGTTTCGAGACTAGAAGAAATAACAACCAACTAAAGAAGCTCTTGATTGTGAAACATATTCTCCCTGTCAACATCTTGGAAAACGTATGGAGAATAAGCATATTGATGTTCAGGTGTAAACGAATAACATAACGAAACTATTTTGAGACGCCTTCACTGATCCTCTCGAACTATCTTCTCGTTAAGTTGAATTTTATATTGTACCTTTATTGACAGTCTTTTTGTGCACAACTTTTGAAAGTTTTTTAGCCACCTGTGGATGCACGACATGGGATGTCATATGATTGCCGTGCACTCTCTTCCTTGCCAAGTGTTTCACATGAGAAACTCCAACGGATGCTTTCTTCACGCTCTTTTTCCGCACTCCCTCTTGTTTACGAACAAGGTCTACTTGTTTAGCTTGAGGTTTTGACCTTCCTTCATCTTTTGCTTTCTCATTAGGAAACGTTGTATTCCTTAGAAGTTTCGAAGCACTTTCATTTACCATGTTTTTAGCTTTGTCTTCTACCGTAACTGAAGTTTCATTCGAAGAATTTCTAGGAATATTTTGATGTAAACTCATTCCATTCTGTGGCAGTTCTGTTTGGTTTCCTTTCACTGTACTCTCTTTATGGTAAACCTTTTGGTCATCACTTTGCTGAACTAAGGCAGCCGATGAGCCCGAGTCTTGGGCTGAAGTTTCTTCGTGATTCCCTGTTTCCAGTTTTTCAAGTTGTTCCGCGTGTCTGGATTCTTCTAGCACCATTTTGATCAAGTTTCTTGGCTTAGATCGGTGCACACTCACAGCAGGTTTTTTCTCTTCTGATTCGATGAGTTTAGTCTGTCCTCGGTTCATGTCACTGCTTCCTTCGATTTCATCCCTGTTTGCTGAAGCGTCGTCATCACCACCTCCTCCAGAAACGGGTTCTCTGCTAAATAATTTTTCATACGATTTAGTGTCAAGCATAATTTAACCAAACCACTGTTAAGCAAATTTGTTCGTTCGAGCTATCGCTTGGTGATATTCTGGAAAACAAATTACACTTTCTGTGTAAGGACACCAATAAAGAATACCAACAGACTGACTGGCTATCTTTCTGACTGTCTGACTGTCTGACTAACAGACAGACCTGCTGATGATTAGCTGGCTGATTACCAGGCTCTCTGACTGACTGACTAACGGACGGATGGACAACCAAGTGGAATTCTTGCTCTGTTCACGCACATGGCGCTCTCGAAATTGCTGTTCCTAGCGGTATACAGGAAGCGTGTCATATGGACCCAGTTATGGCCAAACTCGCCGTAGAGTCTCTGTGGCTCAGTGAAAGACCAACTGAGCGCTAGGTCTGAGGTTCGGTTCCACATGGAGACTCTTTGTGCTAACACCCGTAAAAAGACGAAAAAAAACTTTTTCTGAACTAGTTAATGGCTGACGGACCAACTGAAATACGGACTGACTGACTGGCTGGCTGGCTGGCTACTCAGGCTATTACGTAACAAACATCAATCAACTGAATTAAGCTTCACCTTGCATAAAAACTTTGATTTCTGCCCTCAGCACTTCCACTTTCGCCAGCACTGCGTTCACTGTCTTCAGAACCTGAAGACCAACCTGCTTCATCCAAACCGCTTTCGTCATCATCGTCATCATCAATGCTCTCGTGCTGCTGCTGTTGCCGTTGCTCTTCTGACATCGCATTCTTCTGATCAATCTCATCTTTCTTACGAAGACCCGAAGAGTAAGAGCTTCCGACACTGGTCCTCGAGTTCTCATCGTTTTCTTCATCGTCCTCATCTTCATCGTCGAATCCCTCATCTGCAAGTTCGTCATCATCGTCACTCGCTTTATCGTCATCGTCCTGTACATCAGAACGTTTTGCTCGTTGATATTCCATAGGATCGTCATATATCAAATTGTCCTCTGGGTAGCTTGTAATAATGTCTGGAGCAATGTCGCCTATAAAAAGCAATGCCTGAGTTATCATGTTTTGTTTCAGTCATGTTGTGGTAGAATTAGGAAACTAGCAGCGCCTAGAACTAAAGTGAATCGGCTACTCAACAGTAACGTAATTTTATTGGTCTCCTCTAACAAACACATGCTGAAGAAAGCGAGGTCATGATCCAAACCCAGACTTTCGAGGGTTCATCCTTCATTTCAATATGATTCTTTCAATGATGACCTCCTTTTTAGTCACCTTTACAAATTATCTCACCTTTCCTATATTCAAATGCTTATTAAAAATCATTTTCATTTTTCAAGGGGAAACAGGACGTTTCAGGTTTGCATGATCCCCATCTTGATTAATGGTGTTGGCTATGAAGTATCATCTTCACTACGAAGTAAAACCACTGTCGCCCTCTTCACTCTAAGATGTGCGATATTTTCAAAGGCACTTACCTTTTACATACAAAGGGAAGAAAACAATCAGAGCCTAAAGAAAGAAATGGGGAGAAAGCTTAGGGCTGATAACTAATATCTACAACACAACAACTCTGTGTCTCCACTAGCCTCCCATAGCCCGAGTGACAGATAACATTGAAACACTAAGAATTGTGTCCATAAAGTTCGCTTTGTAAAATGTATTCTATATACAAGGCTAAAAATTAAAATGTTTCAACCAAACGTTTTCGGCTGTTTGCCATCATCAGGGTTAGCAAACAACCGAAAAACGTTATTACTCAATTACGCACGTGCAAAATCTGAGAGAAATCGTAAGGCCGAAATATACAATAATTCAACTTCTGACCCGTTAAAAAAAAGGATAGCGCTGAAATAGATTATGTTAATTTATCAAAGTTAATTCTCCCTCAGTACTGCGTATTCTACAGTCGACTGCGTCAGTCCTTTTTGCTCGGACCCGCTCGTTCCACCGCCCAGGCTCGACTAATGACCGTAAAACTTTCATTCAGCTATCACATAGAAGCTCTGTCAGCCTTGTCTAGCGAGCGCCTGCATCGGAATGAAGACTTCCGCTAACGAAGATTAAAAAAACTCTCCCCCTCTTTTTTTTCAGATTCCTCCTCTTCACCTCCATTTGACACTAAGTTACATGGAGATAATCGATTCGGATCAATTTCGATGCATTTATAATCAAATTCCCAGCAAAGACGAACGAAAGACTTTAACCTTTACTTTGGCTCAGCTCAGGTCCTTGTGTAAATTCAATATCTTCATGATCTTCTATTCGTAACAAACGTAGATACTTTCACATCATCACATTATTGCTCAAAGGGTGATAGCAAACGTTAAATTTTTGTCGCATCTCGATCCGGTCGCAAGAACAAGCACATTAGCGTAATTAGTGTAAAAACGCCATAATGTTGTACTGGATAACAATGCATTTAAAACTGGCGCAGTCTCGACTTCTACAATGTTACCAGAGTTGTAATGAGGTCAAACTGATGCCTTTAAGAAGAAACAATGAACTAATTTAGGAAAAGTGAACTTGACTCACCGTCACGATCCAAGACCCAAAGTGGTTTGCGATAGCAGACATCTTGGGCTGATAAAAACTAACTTACAGTCTCACCTAAGTAACGGATAAATCAACAGCAGCTTCATCGGAAAAAAAGGAAATCGTAAACGTAAATGCTAGGCGTTTCCGATGAGCTAAACAATATCAAATTTAATTTTGTAAACAATACAAGACAAAAAATGATTGCAAGATCAAACGCTCGAAAATCATATTTCTGCTATTGCGCACGCGTCTCTACCATTTGAAAGGTCGCAACACCGGTTGAACCTGGTAGGCAACAGGTACTTGAACAATGACTGTCATGTATAAACCAAACATAATGTAGTGTGAACAAATATCAAAAATGGAAAGTTAATGGACTCCTCTAATTTGGGGAAAAAAATGTAAATTGACTGGCATGAAATTCTGAACTGTCAGTTGTCATTCAGTCAAAGGAGTTTTTGATGTAATCAGGGTATCTATAATACTGGTCTGACAGAGTTTACAGAAAGCGTGAAATTTTGGAGTACTCTGAGCATTTATTTCAACGGTTATTAATCGCTAACATATTGTGATTTACAATGATCTAGCAGTACCCTCCCCACCCCCTGGGAGAAAGGGTAGAGAGGGTATCCTACCTAGAGAGGGGAGGGCACGGTTACACGTAGGCTACCAGCAGAAAAGTTAGAGCGCTGGACAATGGATCGAGGGGCATGGGTTCGAGCCGTAGCCAATTTAACAAGAAGATTTCACAACGCTTCTCTTTTTCGGGTTTGAAAGACATTGCTGTTTTCACGAAAACCCTTGGTCTAATCTCTCACATTCAAACGACACTTTAGTTTTGTCCTCTTCAAAATATTCAGTTTTCAAACGTCCGTAATGGCCAGCAATTTCTTAACATCTCCACTATCAGGAACATGTTAAAACCAAATACGCTTTCAGTGACCGATTTGACCAGATACGCGACAACACAGTAGTTCTGGAAGAATTTTCCTTGCAGGGAAGATGTTCGCTAACTTCTGACCTTAACTTCAGGATTGCCAGATTGCGCTTAAATATAAAGTTAACAACTTAAAATGAAATAAATTACAAAATAATTTAAGTACAATTTTCCCCCTTTCAAAGAAGATGGTCGCGCACACAGCCCAGGACGAGCCCTTACTCCCTTATCTACGCCTCCCCCTCCCGCCCTAAATGCGGAAGACCAATCGTAGACGAAATATTAGCAGACAGTCACGCAAACATGTGGACAGACAGGGACTTTGACGAGCGGACCACGAAATAAACAGATAGTCTAAAGTTTCGCGTATTGCAGATGGATGGTAGTTTTAACTTTATTTTGAAGAAAGATTTCCCTCAAGTAAAAACCCGTATAACATTTCCCAGCAGTATGACAATTAAATTTCAAAAAAAATATCTAAAATTTAAATATAAACATATTAGAAGATATGAGATATCTTTCACCAAGCTGTATTTGATATCCTTGTTATTGTACGACACCAAGAGAATAAAGCCTACCCTTCTGAAAATACTTTTTCTCTTGTGACATGTACATACAAAAATGTGTTTCTAAGCACTTGTGGCTTATCTTTCCATAAATTTAAATAACTTGTACTATTTATTTACTTATTTATTTCATCATTTTCACACAGTGTTAGTAGATTAGTTTATTTATATCTTAGTTTTGGTCAGGCAGATGTTCATAAATGGGCATACTCGCTATAACATACACTTTAAATATGCTTTCAATTTAAAACATTTACAAATTCAAATTGAATAAAAAGGTTTTGATAAGAGATGGATAGGACATGAAGTGTATGACCTATTGACCTCATTAGTCAGACCCAGATTGGGAAATGAGCCTAAATTGGGGGAGAACCCACTGAAAGAACAGTGGAAATTGAACCTAATTACCTTAGTCTTGACACAAAATTATAGTTGTGCCAATGTTTAAGTTGACTAAATACATTTTGCTGCAGTGACAACTGGCCAAGATATAACAACAACCAATCCTGTAGGCCCTACGTGCATGAACGCTACATCAAAGTGTACTTTTTCTATTTACATAACTGTCTACTCCAAATAAAATGGTAAAACTGTAAGGTGAGGTTAAGAGACAGCTTACCAACCCAGAGACCCACATGGCTGTACTTGTCAGGGTGTTCCACGGTCAAACTGTGAATTATCCTACACCTGAATCTGAATCAGTTGAAAGATCCTCTACCAACACAACAGAGGACCTCACTGTATCTTCAGGCATAAAACTGCGTTGAGTCCAATTTGTAAGGCCACAAGATCCAAACTTTTCCTTTTCTAGATGTTCCTTAGTTGCAAGAACTGGTTCAATTTCTATGGTATGCTTGTGAAAATGTTTCTGAATTCCTGATGCCATTTTCTCTGAGTACTTAGCATAAGAGTACAAGGCTCCCCCAAGGGTATTCAGGGAAACTCCGATGAGTGTTAACGGAGTGGCAGCCACTCCACCAAATGTATAAAATCCAATGATGGTCGTCAAGACACCTTTGACAACGCCTACAAGGCTAGCAAGAAAAAAAGAGTAAGTTTCTTAGGGTATTTTCCTCTCTGGAGCACCAATCAGAAGAGTGCCATTTTACCACTTAACCAATCATAATATAATTAGAAATGTTCAACCAAAAAAACTAAAAGGAATATATACAGAGACCCAATGACAACTGAACACAAATAAATTTAACCAAGTTGCAATTGGTTTTAATCTTGGATCGCATTGGTGTAGGTGACACAAGTTTCTTTTTTATAACCAGTGACAGAGAGCAGCAATGGAAAACCAATGCAATCCTGCATTATTTTTTAGACTAAATTGTTATACTGCCCCCTCCCTCCCCTTCCCCACCACCACCCTTCTCTCTCTAACCCTTCAACTCACAGGATCTGGTTGTTACTTCTCATTTCTGGCTGCTAAACATTTCCTTGTCAATAAGTTACAAGAAGTTTGGTGTTAGACGAAGATAACAACTTCAACCTGATAAGTTTGAATATTCTCATGACCTGTTTGCTGGATAATGTTTAGATAATATAGGGAGAAGTAACATGTTAATCACTTCTGGGAATTAAAGGGTTAACCTAAAAAGCAAGTATGTGGTACTTTAATTTCTATTTCCAAGTAGCAAATTAAAGTAATTTCTCAAAGAAAAATACTTTCCAATAAATTTCATTTATGTGTTGCCCCTGAAGAAAATGGATCTTGATTATTAAAATTCTGACATATATTATTGAAGTTAGTGGCAAATATCATGATGATAAAAGTAACCAGTCACTTTTGACAAACCAGACACAGTAAAACATTCAACTGAAATACAGCTTTGACAGACTCTGATGATGACATGAAAAACAGTCATTTCTAGGGCTTTTAAAGAATTTTTCATCTTCACCTGGACAATAAAAATTAAAGTATAAACCACCTAAAATGTCAAAAAGTGCTCAAGTGCTGTCAGTGGACTGGTTACTAAAAAAAATTCATCACCAAAAGCAAAATTTTAAATGCAGTTTGAATAAATCAGCAAGGTTTAGTATTTCAAACTCTTCCAAATTGCATAAGTCCACAAGGCAAATGAAATTTGTAGTTCTTGAAAAATTATGATGGGTATTAGGCTCATCATCTTCCCCAACTTTGTTACAAACTTTTGGGTTAGTCCTCAGGAGTTTTGTTCATTGCATTAAGTTTTGTACTTTTCAATACTTTCTTTGTTTTCTTAAGCCTGAGACCTCAAGACTTTTAGCTGCTTGTTTGTGCTTTGCTTGGCTTTTTTTTTCTTAGCACCTTCCCTCAAACACTGGGAAAAAAACTTGTTTTGATGTATTTTCTCTACTCTACTGTCAATCAATTTACTTTTTACTTTCTACACTGTTTGAAATTAATACTGAATTACATACTGAAAATTTTTCACTAAAAATTGTTATTAAGGATTAAAAGGATCAAGAAATTGGGATTCTAATGCACTCCAATGAGTGCAACACTCTAACAATCAAACACATCGGGATTATTGAACATGTGCAAAAGTAAGCATCAAAATAATAATGGATGTTTTACCTTGTTGTCAATGCTGTGTTCATTGTTGTGCATAAAAATAGAGAATAACTCAAAATACAGCCCATCCCAACATCAAGAAAAAGTGCAGCCTGAAAAATGGAAAAAAAAATGTTATGGTTATAACCATTTTAAAAGTAATCAAGGGTTTACCATGATTAGGACATCTTCATATTTATTATTTACAAGGCTGACTCAAGTTTGCAAGGTAAATTCACTTTCATTTTCAATTCTCAGTTTCCTTTTTGTTAGAGTTAGCATTGTAACACTCTTTGTGCCAATGTATAGTCATGCCAATAGGGCTCTTTTTATTCACTTTCAACAGCTTCTGTAATAATAATAATAATAATAATAATAATAATAATAATAATAATAATAATGTAATGCCTATTTTGAGACAAACCTGAAATTCAACAACGTAGTATCCATCAAACTTAAGAGCTGCCTGCAGCTCCTTATTGCACAATGTGTAAATGAGCAGAAGAGGAATACAGTTGATACTGTTTGTGTGAAGTACAGTCAGGGCTGATAAACCCTTTTCTGAGCCTGTCTTTTGGATGTACGTAAGATAAAAAGACTGGCAAATCACACTTAGCAGAGCAGAGACATAGGCAAAGGCTGAAAACTCTAGATCTCCAAATCCTGAAGGGGAAAAAAAAAATAAAAAACATTAGCACAGAGTCTGACCTCCAAAACCTTCTAACATTGCCAATTTTTGTTGTAAACTTTTGTTGTTGTTTTCTTTCTTTTCAATTTTCTTGTTGTAATTTGAACATTAATCTGTTATATTCACCATCATAGTGGACAACATATTCTGCAGTATGAGCTTGGGGATAAAATATTTCTCTCAATTATTGGGCAATTTTTTCACCATCACATCATACATGACTTGTGTTTTTTAAAATGTAAACAAAAAAATTAAAGCTTCCTCAAAATGAAACAGTTCTCACCTGCTGTAATACAACCAATTACAACAAGCATAACAGAAGTAACAATCATAAGGGATGGCTTCTTTTTCAACATAAAACAAGCAAACAACAAACTTGTCAGAGGGAGAAGTCTTCGTAAAACATTGTACCTTAAACAGGAAAAGGAAACAATAAGTCAACAATTAATTAGTGAGGAATTTTGCTGTACCTATAAGCAAGGGCTTTTTAATAATACAATGATGTTCTTTAAGTCATCTCAACTCTTCTCCCTTAACAATTTAAGCTGCATAAAAATATTCACACAAGAAAGGAGACTACAACCTATCAGCATTCTATCACAACTGGTGCTATCTGATAAGCTATGCTATTCACCTCATACTCCAAGACAGATAGTGAATTAAGTGTGTACTGCAGCATGCAGCAAAAATTCTATTGTACTTTTCAAACACCACATTTTGATGTTTTCTGTCATCTGTTAATGAACAGACTAATGGTTACATGGAATCCATTTTCTTAATTTTACCTACTTTTAATGGCAGAACAAATAAAGCAAATTTTAAAATTTCAAAATTATACCCTCCTTCATGAAACAACATCTGGCCATAGTTACCAAATGAAAGGTGTTGATTATAATATTGGTATCAATTTCAAATGCAGTTTGAAATTTTTTTGGTTTAAAGTAGCATCTAGAATGATTGTGGGAATATTATGTAACATCCAAAAAGTAATACTAAAACTTAGACAAGCAATTCAAAAAATAAAGTATAGTCAATTCTCCACTAACAGACACTCTTGTAAGTGGACAGTTCTACCTGTGGACACTTCCTCAATTCCCCTTTTGCCCCCCTATTCTAACTGTTTCTACCTATTCCCATGAGTGGACACTCTCTTGTGACCAGATGCAGACACTTTTGAAATGAAAATTAGCTTTTTCTTTTGTGTACACTCTCTTGTAAGTGGACACCCCATGGATAATAATTGACTCTTGGCAATTGAAATATGTCTTAATTTTGCAAATCAACAAAAAAATATCAACTTTGACATGGCAACAGAACAGTGGGGATCAATTTTGTCAAATCTCCATTTGTCTGGCAGAAAGCACACTGTCTGTTCATATGACAATAACAAGAGTCTGACATAACACTCTCAGGTAAGTGGGCATCCACCCTAGTCTTCTTTGGTTTCCACTTGTGACTTAAAATCTTATTATATCAGATCATACTTACATTGGTATGGTTAAATAATCCAGGGCTTGAAGAGCTAATGTTGTGTGAAGGGCAAAGCATATTGAAGGAATAAAAAACATCTTTCCTCTATTGAAATACAATCAAAAACAAAAATACAATTAAACTATGGATTCAAATTGTTTTAATCAGACTTGAAGAAATAACTAGCCATGAAGTGCAGATCACAGGAGGGTTAAACCAAAAGACTAACATCTTTTGTTGTGACCTTTTCTGCTCTTATGAAATTAACAGATACCTTTAAAAGATATCAGTCAGCACTTACACCCTGGCAACACAATTACGCGTACAATTACGGACTTTGTTTCTTTTTTTGGTGTTCATTTTCAGGCCCACGCTCATTGGTTAACCCTTCAACTCCCAGATCAAATTTGTAATTCTCCTTATTGTTAACCATACAATTCTTACCATGTTAGATCAGAGAATTTAGAATTGGATCAACTAATTATACCCAGATTGACATTTTTCTTTATTCTCATCACTTATCTGGTTGATATTGTATTGATGTTGTCAGGAAAAATTCTGTCTTGGTCACTCATGGGAGTTAAAGGGTTAATTCAAATTATTTAAATTTTTTAAGACTGATATGTTCCACTGTGCATACAAAAATTAAGTGGTTTGGGGATTTTTGATTCACACTGGGCTTATAACATTTCTTTGGCATTTAAAGGGTTTTAACAAATTTTGAGGGCCACCAGGAAAACTGTCTTCTGTAACAGTTACTATTCATCCAATCTTTTCCAATGGTTATGCAGCCTGAACTTTGAAAACCACAACTACATGTACAATGATGCAACACCCACCTGATTCTCTGTTTTAATTATACAGAGAAGTTACAAAAAAGACATTGTCAAAGATAAATTAACTGGATTTGGGCCGTGGTACAGCTGTATATCTTCCATATAAGGAAGCTCTTTGAAATAGGTTTTCATATAATCCAACCTCAATTATCCACACTTGCCGGGACTGGATTAAATACATGCAGTCTGGATAATAGGGAGTCCAGATAATCGAAAATATTAATATAAATGACACAAAATAAAACTGAAATAATATGTAAATCAGAATTAAATGCAATGGCTTGACTAATCTTAGAATTGAAATTAATGCCCAAGCTTTGGTTTAAAACATTTCCTCTTCCAAAGGAAACAACCCTTTTATGTATATTAACCATACCATAGACATAATAACCTAAATTAAAAATAATTCGTAATAATAGTTTGTAGGAATCTTTATGTACCTTGATAATATTTTTAAAAACCCTGAGCCTAAGGAGCCCTTGTTTGAAATTATGGCCTTGGGGTGGGAGCTCATTCTGGTGAGGGCACCTTATTCAAAGAAATACAGTATTCTTATTTAGGCCAACAGCAGGCAAGCAAAAATATTTGACGGATTTTAATTAGAATTAGAGTATGAACTGCATATTAATAATAAGATATACCTTTCTAGTGTGTACTTCGGCACATTGGAATATCCCAAAAGCCTCACAACTTCAACAGTAATTGATAACATAATCACTTGAGCCAACATAAGGACATTAGGAAAATGGTAGGTATATGAGGTCAAGACAATCTGCCAAGAAAAAATCATTAACATAGAAGTGTTAACTTGCTGAGCTTATAACTGCTAACATTACAGTTGTTCCTTATTTTCATGCTATACCTCATTACTCTGCAGAATTTCCTCCTAAGGCACACACAGAAACAGCTCCTTTTTTTCTTATTGCCAGAATTTGCCAGAGAAGTATTTTCACAGAAAATTGGGTACATCAGTGGCCAACCATTGTAACTTTCTCTACTTAGACCTTAAGCTCCCATGAGTGCCAAGACAGAATTTATCCTCACAATATCAAATGAATACAAAATCAAGCAGACAAGTGACCAGAACAAAGAAAAATTAATATAAGGGGATTGTTAGTTGATCTGATACCAAATTCTGCACACTAACATTCCTAAGAATTGCATGGCTGACATTAAGGAGAACTACAGATGAGATCTTGGGAGTGAAAATGAACAGAAACTCTCTTTTAAAGATCACTGTTCATAATAAAAATTTTGGCCAACATGAACATGCTAGGACCTTTCAAGCATTATCTCTGTTTATGGTGTTGGAGTTAATACTAGGAATTTTCCAGCTTTGGCCAATATCTGATCGTTAATTCTCCCCTCTAGCTGCTTCCTTGTTAGTTAATTATGAGAATTTGGTGTTAGATCAAGATAACAACTTTTACCTGATACATTTGAGTACTCTCATTACATGTTTTCTGGACAATGTATTGATACAGTAGACTTAGTACACTTCTGGGAGTTAAAAGGTTAACAAGAGGCCATTGGTACCCATACAATCAGGGAAATTGTTTTGAGGGTGACTTTTTTTTTAGAGTCATCACATGTTAAGCAAGGAGCTCTAAAGATGGCCCCTGCATATGACGTGTTTTGGAAAAATATGCTTTCTTTTAATCCCACCAGAAATATATTAACTATGGACCATATTATAAAAGTTCATATTGTAATTAACACTGTTTTCTTTTTGTCTTATATATAGTTTAAGTACACAAAACTTAGAGGATTAGCAACCATTGTTTGGGAAAAAGACAAATAATAAAAACATATCATGCAAGTATTTTTTGTCTTGTTTATAACCAGTAACACCAGTGAGTCTCACCCACACAATGCTATCATAACAGCACTAATATTAAGTTTACCATTTGTGTGGATTTATCATCTCTACCCTTCCATGCATACATTAAAAACATGTTCTTTTAGCCTATTAAACTTCAATGCTTTGAAAACAAAACTTAAAAGTTTGTTAAAATTTTGATAGAATGTAAACAAACATATTACCATGGAAACTGTTGTTTAAGAGTTCTGTAACCTTTACCTGGCTGTGCAAGATATATCATTTGATTTCATAAGTTGGTGGTCAGTGGTATGCCACCCATGAAATTTCTGCCTTGTTTGCTAACTAGAAACACCATTGTTATATACCCAGAATTCCACTCAACAAAACAAGCACTGTGATTGGTTGATTCTTGGTCAGATGCCCTGATTAAATTCAAATGTATCCTGACCAGGATACAACTGTACAGTTGTTGCCCACAAGCCAAATACAACAGCACATGATCGTTTAAGGGAGAGTCAAACAAAGCACTTAATGTATGGTCCCTTGGGAAACTAGTTAGTTTTGTATTCCCTCAAGTCCTGATGTTTCCTTCGACTTCACCTCAGGAAACATCAGGACTCTCGAAAAAAAAACTGTTTCCCTTGGGACCATACATTAAGTGTGTATTGATGACCACCATCACTAACACAAAACCTTTTTAAATGGGCAAGCAATGCAAAACCCTCATCCAAATGGGCAGGTAAATATTGCAGTTTCGTTGTCAAAACATTGAAATTTGATATGCCAAGAACATATATTTTTATTAAGTGTGTAGAAGGGTAGATGCAGTATATATATTGTGGCACCCTAATCCCTTAGCTTCTCCTTGATGATTTAAATGGATGAAAAGATATCTCCAACTTGATGCTTCCACTCCCTTCCCTCTGGATTTAAGCATGATCAGTACCCTACTCTCTGAACCATATTTTTAAGTTTAGTCTCCCTAATTTCATCACAAGAAACTTAGTCAGTGTATTTTATGAGGCAAGAATTCTTCATACATTTCTTGAATAAAGAAAACAATGAAAACAATGAGGAAAACAGTAGATTGTCTAAAGGATTACGGCCTTGTTTTAGAATAGTACGGAGTTATACGGAGATCACTCTTGTTGTAATTCAAATACGCATTAAACATAAGCGTACACTTACACTTTCCCCAACCTTAAAAGGCACACATGTCTACATGTCGTACGATATTTGGTCAGCAGTGAAAGGAAAGTTTAACATAGTGCGAGCTTTTTCAAAATTGGAACATGAATATCCCTAACTCGTTCTCTTTCGCTACAGTTTATGGCTTCTGTAAAATTTTTCTTACCTTATTAACAAAAGACATCGATCCCGAAACAATCCCATAGAACGAAGCCGCCAGGATCCCCGGTCCAAATGCTCTTGTAAAGTCGAGTTCTTCCAAAGCTGTGGAAATGTCGTAGTTAAGAAATCCAAGCTTGGCATTTATCCTGTCAGGCATTCCTACAGCGGGTATAGTTCAAAAATTAATTTCAGTTGGCAGAGATTGACGTCTGCACAAAAATGTGGTCACTTTTGGAATGGCCCTGAATCAATATATACGACTGCAAACGTGGCGAATTCGTTTGCCAAGCTTCGCACAATCAAATTCCATTCCAAGTACTAATGTTATCCAGGTTTGTGGTCCAGATGAAAGAGGCGAGATTTGCCTCCGACTGCCCACCCAAATAGTAATACGCCCTCACTGCTTCGTCATATCAGTGGATAATATAAATGCTCGCATGAGCGGCGAGTTGCTGAAAACACCGGCAGGCTTAATATCCTAACAACAATTACACCGAAGGATTATTTGCGTGGATGCTCAGCTCGACTTACTCCTCTTTCCGTTCTCCCCGTCTGCTTAGTATGCGGAAGTTTTATCAAAGACAAAAGTGATCAAACCAATCAAACTTCAATCAGAATCTTCAATTCATAGGCTAAATACCAAAACTGCGTATCAACGATACAAAGCGTCTAGAAACGAAACAAGAACCATTTATTCAAAGTCATAGGTGACACAGATTATTTTGAAACAGAAGAATCGATTGCGTATGTGATTTAGATTAAAAATTCATAAACATGAACTTCTGTGATCATCGTGTGATTTATTTTCGGCTGGCGTAAATACTATTTCCACTCACAGGATCCAGTCTGTATATGAAATGCACCCAATCAGCTTACGGAGAAATTGCAATTACCTTTTTTCTGTGGGGTTAAATCGCTTAGGCAACCAGTAACTGCATAAATTTACGGTCAAAAGTATCGAAAAGTGGATTGACTTGCCCGCTTAAAAGAATGTTTGTTAAAAGTCTTTCGACCGTTTGTATACTAACGACTGACGGAGGAATAGTTGGTGACTGAATAACGGGCCAGTAAGAGACGAAGCAAATCGATTATGTCGCAAACTGTCTCTCTCGTAAGTAATGATGTTCAGCTACCGTGCGAGAACACTGTAAGTTTCGCACTGCGCTAAAGTTTAGTTAAAAATCAGTTCAACATGTTCCTTACCATTAAGAGCAATGAAAAAGATAATTTTAGATAGACGTTTATCAAGACGGTTGTGTTTGCCCAAACTTTTTTCATATGTAATCAATTTATTGCTGATCACCGTGGAAACTTTCTGCTTTTCTAAAAAATGTCAAGTTGACCGTGTGTTTCAACAAAACTAAAAGCATTAATAAATGAAAAAAAGCTACCGAGTTTTACAATCGGCCAAAAACTTTGTTTGAAAAACAAAATCCTAAATATTTAAGCGAAGACTTCGCTTTAAAGCGGTCAGAACTCTTCAATAACAAAATATTGCAACATCAAAGTCATTGATTAAACAATCGAAAAAATAAATGCATTTGTGTCGATTCAGCTTTAAATTTATTTTGAAAACGCGAATAGTCTATTTTTTAGTTTAGTTTATAATTGTCTTTCTTTTCCAAAGGAAGAACAGCTGTACTTAAATCATTACGCTTTAAAGTTAATAGCGAATGCAGTGTTGAATTCACTAAAATACGTCCAAACAACAATATTTATACTTCACACAGTAAAAAAACTTGGCAACCCAGTTCTTAAGTTCACTTACTTTCGATGTTTAGAAAATCCGTCGTTGATATGCTTCCTTTGTCCGTGGTTGATTTGTGCTACTCGCAGATATTGTGAGGGATGACCGGATGAGGGTATCTAATGATGAACTGCACTTACGCGCAAATTACCAAGCGTTGTGTCTGACACTGCATAATTAGTTATTGTGATGATCATATGCCTTTAGGCGACTTGTGATTGGCTCTTGGATGACTTGAACGAAGTTTAGTACCCATTGGATGATCTGCAGCGTGGGTCAGGGAACTAGTTGGTTAATCTCGTACCCAGATTCAGATCCTACCGTGTAACTGTATCTTAAATGTAACCGCTTGGCCGTTGAAGGTCTAGGTACGAGACTACTAACTGGTTTGAGTAACAGAGCCATCTTTCGCCTGTCAGAAAAAAGACAAGGATATTGATGAAAAAAAGGGAAAAATCTGGAGCAGTGGTTTCGACGTTGGAACCCTTTACCGACACAAAGTAAAGATTCTAGATTTCACACATTGTTTGACTGAATAGCCAAGGCTTAAATTTTAAATACATGATCATGCCCATTGTAAAAAGACAAATTTGCCACCAATCAAGAGCTTGTGTATCTAATTTTAATACCTTATTTGTTCCTTATTTTGATGTTGGGAATTATACTGACTCCCTCTGATGAAGGGCTAACGTTCGAAACTCCAGCTTTAGAAAACTCTCTACGGTGGCCAATTTACATCATGTACTCAGTCGATAATACCAAATTATCCTGAATTACTTAGTGAGATGCAGAAAAGTACACGTTGATCATATCCTGCTGTGAGATAATAGTTTGCAAAGATAATGCTAAGTACTTACTATTTGCTGTTTTGACCAACTCATTTGGCGGATTCGGTGAAGTGCAGATGTTCAGTTACTACGACAATTAGCCGCTCTGTAAACTATGTGTTATGCTGTCACCACGAATAAATAGTTTTTCTTGCTTCATTTGACTGACATCTGTTCATCTCTTTCTTAGTTTCACATCGAATCCACTAACATTGTGCCGGACACTTTTTAAATCGCTCATCCCATTTTACTGATTTGCCTCAGATCTTAACTAGGAATGCAATTTTAAGATAAAAGTCGTTTTGGAAAGAGCAACTAATTTGAACAAGTTTGTTTTGATAATAAGATTCATTGAATGTGAATGCCTGAGAGATTTGATTCCTTAGGCGGGTGAAATGACACATTGACGGCCAGGCTACCGGCACCTTTACAAGGGCTAGAACAGCTGCTTAGCTCAAGAGTCACCCGTTTGAGATGTAGTGAACAAATATAATGAAAAGAGTAACTTGACAGTGTTCACTAAGTTGCACGCGCAGTTTTCTTGATGACGTGTGGCAAAATTTGTCGTGAAACCGTTTACTCTTGCATCTTCGGGAAAGTTTATGAAGTTTGTCAAAATTTTCTCGAAATGCTGTTCGAGTGCAGAGATACATTTTAGAAATAGAGATATTTGGAGCGCAATTAAAATAAATTTTTTAAAGGAAAAAATGAGCGTGCTTTCCTCAAAATCATTAAAAAAAAAGTGCTTTCTGTGAAGCTCTCTCCCATAGCGATGGCAAATGTTCATTCACGCACCTTTAATGGGAGTGTAGTTAACGCTTCCTTGAGATGGTGAACTCGGTAAGTAGAAAAATTGTCGTAATTGAAGAAACTGACTATGGAGGTGGCCTGTATGGACGTTTTAGAGAGCGGTTGCCGGAGTTTGTCAAGGAGACTCGAGGCCGTATGGCGACCTGTCTGTTTTCTAAAAAGGATGACATAAATAGATCAGCAAATGAACGCAAATTGAAAGATGCACAAACCTTGAGTTCTAAACGTAAAGGTATACACCTACGTTATTAGCAAGGTTCCAGACTTCACACAAAGCGTCCAGTTGCTCATGCTTGTCTTCAGTGAAAAAGCAACAGAACCAAAAAAGTCCTTTTTACAAAATCCTCATAATATTTTTAGCCTGAAATATCAAGGCCAAGTGTGCAACTGAAATCTTCATTTGAAGCTTTTGACAAACACAGAAACTTTTTGTTACACTTTGTTAGAGCTATCACTCTACAGAACTGAGATGCAAAACTTTTTTCAATTGTTGTCACGATGCCTCCATGGTAACTGCTTGTGTCGTCACTCTTTGACATCACGCGTGATTTGAAGAGATGGACCTGGGCATCAAGATTTTTTTAGTTTAGCGCGCAGCCAAAGCAAGTGTAAAAATCGTCGATTTACCTCATAAAAATATTGTCGATCTTTTTCGTGATTGAAAATCTTGGGGTTGAGCGGTGTAGCGAATGTTGAAAATAGGATTTGTTACTCGTTTGAGGTCTCCTTGTGTCGGACTCATTGTACTGTAGTATTGACCTCTGCACTTGCTTTTCGTTCGGTTTAGAACGCGTTGTTCAGCCGGATTGAGATCTATAATCTTGTAATACTAATAACTGGCAGCACGTTTTGGTGTAAAAAATGGCATTAAAAATTGTAGCATTAAGACCAGTTCTACAAGAAAATCTGGGCCGGCCAACTTTTAGTGATACTGGCATTTATCTGGTTCGTAGAAAAAGCCCTAAGCGAACCAAAGGCGCATGCTGCAGCTAGACAATACTTTTATTTTTAGATACAGGGGTTATTATGCAGCTTCAAATATTCCAGAGATGGAAAAATGTGAATGAAATCTCCATTGTTTCTGGTGTGATCTTGCTCGTGTATTCCACTGTCTCAGTTACAGTCCCCTGAGAGGATTTTGTTACTTACCTCCCTCCCTTCCCGTGCAAAAATCAAAACGATTATTCCAAAGGGCGCATACACACACGATCGTGCAAGCCTATTATATTATTATCATTACCATTATTGTTATTATTTCTCAAAACGGATTAAGTATACAGACATCTTGATAAACGTGGATTCATGGTTGAATAGCCGGGAAATCTTAAAAAGGTTTTTTTTATCAGGGTTTCACTTTTCTCGTAAAGAAAATTTGCAATGCCGGTCTGAGTTTTTTTTTATCTATTTTTTATTATTTTTTTATTACTGTCGGCAAAATGGAAAACAATTAGCTCTTTTAAATCCACGGAAAATCGGAATCTTGGCTGACATAAATAAATTTTGACGAACTCATCGTTCCCGGTCCTCCACGACAAAACGCTCCTTTCACTTTTCGCGGAGAAATAAAAGACCTCTCTCTAATCGCTACAGTTAACTCCATCACCATGAGTCTATTATTGTTTTTCTCCATTCGTTCTCTAAGGTGAAACGGAAGTTCATCAAGGGTTCATAATCACTTGCTTTCTTTCATTTTCCTTTCATTTTGGGGTTCTGTGCCGCCCTAAGAGGGGGTTTGGAAACAATGGAAATAAGTGGTACCCCAATCGAGACGGCGCGAAAACGACCCTAGTCACTTTCCATTTGAAATTTACCCTCGTAGGTCTGTGGTGGTAACTCAAGGTTGAGAGTTGACTAAAGCTCTCGTTTTCATTTAGGAAAATGGATCTCACAGGTGTTCTTGAAGCAACAGTATCTCCAGGTAAAGTAAATTGGTAATTTGGAGGATCTTTTGCGGAACTGCCCTCTTGGAACTCTTGCCAAGCCGAAGCACATGGCTGCGATCTCGCATGATGTTCGTTTCATGTTGTAGTTGTGTAATGAGTTAATTTTTGTTTGTTTGATCGTGTAGATCAAAATGCGCTACAAGCGGCTCAGACATATCTGGAATCAGCTGCCCAGCAAAATCTGGTGAGTTTATGGTTTGGGAAGTCTTCCTAAGTTACTCTTTTCTACAAGAAGGCGAAAGTCATTCATTTGTACAAATGTACAGGTTTTAGTACCGATATATTCGAGTTGCACAAGGCTTCATTTTGGCATTTGTACCAATATTTGTCTGATTTTCTCAACAGCCCCAGTTTTTAGTAGCTCTAGTGACTGAGCTAGCTGATGCAACGAAGTCGCAAATTGCAAGAATGGCGGCTGGTTTACAACTGAAAAATCAACTTACCTCCAAAGATGCTACAGTCAGACTACAGTATCAGCAAAGATGGTTGAGTTTAGACGAAGGAGTCAAAACTCATGTGAAAAATATGGTAAGAGAGCTCCAAAACTGTGATGATAGCTCTGACAGGTTTCATGCATGTTTAAACGTCGTTTTTTATGTAATCGACTGAGTACTTCTTCCTGTTTTTGTGTTACAGGCAGTGCAAACACTTGGGACAGAGATAGCAAGACCTGCCATCGCCCCACAGGTAAAAAAATAAGGTTAAAATCCAACAAATTCGAGATGCTGTCACAGGACTCTTAAAAGCTTGAGTTAAGTTTTTTTTCCATCCTTTAACCGTCTCTGTTGCGAAAAATTTCTCCATTGTGTCGTTTTAGTCAACCAAAACTTATCTTTCAAGGTGATGATTTTTAAGATGTCCTTCTTATATGTTTTCACTATGTTTAACTTTTGTTGTAGTTACTAGATGATATTGATCTTAGAATCTAAATTGTATCGCCATCGTGGATGACTTCATCTATCTCTGTTTAAGTTGATATGTTAGGATATTTGTTGCTTGAGGATATAATCATTCTGTGTGTCTTTTATAAAGGAATGGCACTTTCTTTTCAAAGCATAAGAATTTTAAACTGCAAGCTAATTTAGGTGGCTCCCACATGTATAATACAAAAATAAACTATTAAATAAATACCTTTGTTTACTCTTGTAATCAAACTCTATTATCACAAATTGATTGGAATATGATCTGGTAATGGTAAACAGTTCATTTGAGGAGTTGTCCACTTTTCTTTTTTATCATGATAACATTGTTAATTTGTATCACCAAATTCAACAACACAAGGGTGTTTTATATTCCCATTGAGCCAACAGATGATTTGCCCAGGGGAATTCACTTTATGATTATTAACACTAAAACTGCCTCTTAAAAATGTTATTAAACAATTAGGTCATGTATCGGCTGTATGTGTTGTTTGAGAAATGAAGAACTTGGGAAGTTTGGAGAGCACTGAAAAGATGAGAGTTGAGGCACTGGGTAGAGCAACTCTAGTGCATCTTTTGGGCTCCAAACTTACTAATGCTTCAAATCTTGCTGAATGCAGTGGTCAAAGGACAATATCCAATCAAGTAAAACATTTTGTCTGGTCAACTCCTTGGCTGGCAAGACAATTTATTTGGTTGTTTACATATGTAAAGAGGAATTTAATTCCAAGCTAAGTTCAAGTTCTAAGTTCTGGTTTTAAGTTAAGCTTTTCCTGCATTGAATTTTAGGATACATGTACAATAAAAGCACACTTAATATACTTGTTTTGTAAAGAGGGGTGGTAGTTGTTGAGACATGATGTAATGAATATTTTAAATGGGTTGTGTCCAAGCAAAAATGGGTTTCACTGGACAATTTAACTAGCACCAGCCTTGTGTTTAGAGACCACTCAAGAGAATGTAAAAATTTGTTCTTTAAGTATGAGTCTTGAAGGGGAAAAAGGAGCTAGTGTCATTATGCTGTAATGAGGGCTTAGTGTTAAGAAGAGTTACAGGGATTGCAACTGGCAAACGTTTGAATTTAAGGTTGAATTATTCAAGAAGCTAAGGCTTAGCTGGTTGTCTTAGTACAAAGTAGCTTGAGCCCAACACAAACCTTATGCCAATTGGTACCAAAACATTTTCCCTTAAATTTTCTTTATGCACTTATACTGATTTTACCAATGGATCATTGTTCTTGTCTTTTTCTATCATGTTGGGTGAAAGTAGTTCAAAGAGTAAACAAGATCAAACTATCTGAGTTATAACAAATTCTAATTTATGTTTAATTTCCTTAAACACAGTGTATTGCAGCCATTGCTTGTGCTGAAATTCCTCAGAGACAGTGGCAGGACTTGATAGAAATCCTATATCAACTTATAATAGATGCAAGCAATACAGAGAAAGTGAGGGAACATGCTTTGGAAACACTGGGTTATATTTGCCAAGATATTGTAAGTAACTAATCTCTTACCACAGTTTGAATATTCTCAATGGATCACTTTTTTGAAACAGACAAACTGTCCGGAACTTGATTAGGGCTCATGCATCTTTTGTTTAGTTACAAAGTTTAAGTCATAGCTTCAAAGTGGTGAAAGTTGAAATGAGTGCTCATGAGGATATTTATTAAGGGAGCTGTGACTGCATCATTTAATGGATTAATGATGTACTGCTTTTAAGACACTTCAGCTTGAAAGTCCTGTGATTGAATTTCTGTATTACTTGTTCCTTCTGGAGAAATGTTTTTCTACTGAGAAAATTATTTGAAGTCACAACCCTCTCCAAAAAGACCTGTTTATATTTAGTTAATGAATATCTCTAATTATTGAAGTAAATTTGGTTATTATTTTTGTCTGTGTGGTTATAGGAACCAGAACATCTTGTTGAGCGAGGGCACACTATCCTAACAGCAATTGTCACAGGGATGAAAAAGGAAGAGCCAAAGTGAGTTGTGCCATTTTGGATTAAGTTTGAGCCTGTAATTAGGGGTTCATTTATCATTCATGTATTCAAGATATGTAACAATCCATCCATGGTATACACTGTAACAACCTGATTGGAATGAGGAAAAGCCTTACCAAGTAGATTCTGTTTGTCCTCATCTCTAATTTGTTTCAAGGGTGTTAGCCTTTCACTGGGCCAGTGTTAGAGAAAAAGTGTCAATTTGTTCTCATTCAGTGGAAAAACTGTACTGTGACATATTATACCTCTCTCTTCTTAAAATTATTGAATGGTTCAATGTTCATATATACATATACTTTTTTGGTGAGGCAGGTCTGTTTGTGACAACCCCAAGAACCAGTGTGGACCTGCCATAGGTTTCCTATAAAATGCTTAAATTAAATTATTTAAAAGTTACGTTCTTGAGGTGATGAAAACCAAGGTTCTTTGGAAGATGCAAGGTTGATATAACAATTATCAAAAACATTTTCTGGCGTGCCATCTAGATTAAAAGGTTGACCCTTTAGCTCCCGTGAGTGACTAAGACATAATTTCTCCTCACAATATCACTACAATATAAATTAGACAAGTGATGAGAATAAAGAAAACTATCAATTTGGGGATGATTAGTTGATCCAATACTAAATTCTCTAAACTAACATTATAAGAATTGTTTTGTTGACAATAAGGAGAGTTACAAATTTGGTCTGGGAGTGAAATGGTTATGGTTTAACACCCAACTGGGATTGTGTTGTCCTCAGGCAAGATTACTTCCACAGGAGCACAGCAGTAAAATACATGAACCACTTTTGTCAGTAGTTCCCATTACTCAGCAAGTACATGGGTAAAATATTGATATGTTTGCTTTTACCTTTTGTTCATTTTTACAGCATGCATATCAGGATTGCAGCTACAAATGCCCTTCTCAATTCCCTTGAATTTACAAAGCAGAATTTTGAAAGAGTGGTATGATTTACTGTTATTGCCTTTTGTAACTATTCACAAATGCCATAATATCACTTCACTGCATAAAAGCTTACCTTCAATTTACTGCAAAACTTGTTTTTCTTCTCTCCTTCTGAACAAGTTGCCTATACCAGATTTCTATTAAGTCCGCCTGGGAAAATTTTTTCCTGGATTTCTGCAAGCAAGTGACAATTTCTAGGCTTACATTTGCAAATCTCCTTATTTTTGTTATTTTTTAGTATGATTAAATAGCTAGTGATTTCTACATTGAAATAAGCTGTAAAATATGCAACAATAATCTTAGCTGAGCTTCAGAAGGTCTAAGTATATAAATTTTTGTTTATCTCTTTCAACTGAATTACAAAAGTTATGCAGTCAAGTCACTGTGATATTTTTCTTTACTAGTCTGAACGAAACTACATTATGCAAGTTGTTTGTGAAGCAACTCAAACCAGTGAGATTCAAGTGAGTACCAAGGATTTTCAGTTCTTAAAAGCCATGCAATATTATTTTGGTGTTTCTAGTTCATTGTTGTTATCTTTGGTTATTCCCAATCTCCACAATTATGGTAAATTGTTTTGAAAGACCTTCTAATGTAAGGCTATTTCATGTTATGAGCTGCTTGTTCCTGGCTATACTACCTCTTACTTAGTAATTGCTTCTTGTTTCATTTTGCTGATAGCTAAAAGTCGCAGCACTGCAGAATATCGTTAAAATAGTGTCACTCTATTATCAACACATGGAGGAATACATGGGTACAGCATTGTTTCCAGTAAGTTTACTTGACCTGTGTCAGTCCTGTTGTGAAAAGGGTATGGTTATACTGAGATTTGGGTAAGATTGTTAGTAAACACAGTTGTTACATCTGGAATTAAGATCAGAGGCAGTTGTGGTATGGGTATAGTTTGGTTTGAAATCTAGTAGAAATCCAATGCATCCAAGTTTGCATCCTGTGTCAACCTTTTAATTTTCAACACTTTTGCCCTTAGAAAAATTTAAAAAAAGAAAGATTTTTGGAAAAAGGGCTTCTTTTGTCATTATTTTTGTTTGTTTCAAATTTTTCATTTTGTCTCAACGAGCTAGTCAAGTGCCAAAAATGTAACACATTGCTGCAACAAGTTGCTGGTTATCCCAAGGCCACTCAAAGGTTACAAAAAAAATGCTTTAACTTATTTTTTTTCACCCAGATTTCCCTGGATGCAATCAAGTCAGACTGTGATGAGATAGCCCTCCAAGGAATTGAGTTTTGGTCTTCGATATGTGACGAAGAAATGGACTTAGAAATTGAAGCTGTTGAGGTGAGGATTGTCTCATGTATAGATTTCTCAATTTCTTAATTTCCAAGATCTGATTGTTAATTCTGCCCTTAGCTACCACACATTTTCTTGTAAATTAGTTACAAGAATTTAGTGTTACATTGCGATAACAGCTATAACCTGATAATTTTAAGTACTCTCATTACCTGTTTGCTCAATAATGTGTGGATGTTACAGGAAGAAGTTACATGTTAATCACTTCTGGGAGTTTCAGGGTTAGATGAAACTTATTGCTAGATTAGAAAAGGAATGGTTTAATCTCTTTTCCCCTCAGGTAATTTTTTTTGGCATTAAGCTCTACGTATTTAAGGTGTAAATTGTCTTTTTTAAAAGGCCAGAGAAAATAACAAGGAACCAGAACAAACAAGCAAGCATTATGCCAAAGGAGCATTGCAATATATTGCACCTCTGTTGACGGAATGCTTAACTAAGCAGGTCAGTGCAGTGTTAGAACATTTTTGTAACAAGGTGTACTCAAAAGTAATAAATGTAGCTCTTACTCAGGTAAGGACAGAAAACCATATGCCTTGTCTCCTGCATTGATCCTCTCTGTACTGATTAGCAGAGGACATTAAAGAACCAGCATACTTATAGCAAAGAGTAGGAAACATAGCTCCTGGTGTCGTGGTCTGGCCTTGACTCTGAAATTGGGAGCATCCACCTAAATTTCCTTCATAAATTGCAAAACTGCTCAATGCTGTCTGGTCAAAGTCCCCTGCAACGTGTTGTAAAGTGCCTTGAGCCAATGGATATGGTGCCATAGAAATCCTTCATTAGCAACCCTTTAATTCCCAAGATCAGATTGTTAATTCTCCCCTCTAGCCGCTACACACTTCCTTGTAAACAAGTTATAAGAATTTAATGTTAGATCAAGGTAACAGCCTATACCAGCAGATAAGTTTGAGTATTCTCATCACCTGTTTGCTGGATTGTGTGTGGATATTGTAGTGAGAAGTTACATTTTAATCACCTCTGGAAGTTGAAAGGTTATAATATTATTTACTACAGCTCCAAGCTCAACCTTTTTGAAGTTGCAATTTAGGGAGCTAAACATGATCACTAGAGGAAAAATTTCAGTCCCCTGAAAAAGCAAACAAAAAGACAAACAAATGAAAAGGGAAAGCTTGTTCAATTTTACACGATGTATTATTTCGCTTTAGAAACTCTAAAAGAGGAAAATTTGGTGCAGGATGAAAGACAGATTATGATGGCAATAATTATAGTTAATGGAAGTTCACAGAATATCTCAAGGTCAACCAAGTAGAAAGGGGAAAATTTTAAAAGGCACTAAGGGAACATTAAATATATTTACATCTCTGACCTTTGGACCATAGACAGAAAAATAACAAAAACTTCTGAAAGTCAGCTCTGCCTCTCAGACTTGGAATCAATGCAGGAGGAAGGACTACGTTTAACATGTACCATTGCTTTTTCAGTCCTCCAGAGTACTTGTTAACGGTTGCCAATTTCAGCTATGCAGGTTGTCAATTTTTGGCTGAAGGTGCTCGGTAAAGCACATAAACTTATCTTTTAAAACATCTTGGTGTGGAAGAATAAGCTCTCACTCTGTTCAATGGTCAAAATTATACAATCCAATTAAATATCTGGAATCAGTGTTAATTAAGCTTTAAGGAAATGTATACTTTTATAGGGATAACACATATTTTTTCACGCTATTTTTCTTTTTGTGATATGTGAACACTTTTATTGAAATCAGGAAGAATTTGATGATGATGATGACTGGAACCCAAACAAAGCGGCAGGAGTGTGTCTGATGTTGCTGGCACAGTGCTGTGAAGACAATATAATTAATCATGTTTCTTCATTTATTGAAACAAATATTGTTAATGAAGACTGGAAACTAAGAGATGCAGCAGTTATGGCATTTGGTGAGTTCCAAAGTCTAATTGTTTCTATAATATGAAGGAATGTGTGAGAGAAAAGTGCAGAACAACCCGCTGATAGACATCCTCCTTCTGAATTGTTTTGAATGTTTCAGTGATAGCCCATTTCATGCCCATCTTCACATTGAAGTCATCAAATTGTGTTTTTAATTTATTTATCAATTTTTTTTCTAATGGTGCAACAGAAGGAGGGTATTTCCAACAGACAAACCTTTTGATTTGTACATCCTGATTTTACTACTTTATTGAAGCAAAAAAAGTGCACAAGATTTTTAATTAGCCAGGGGCAAGCTGAATTTCAATTTTTTAGCCCTAAGATTTCTCTAAACTGAAAATATCTGAGACTATTTGCTTGTTTTAGGTTCAATTCTTGAAGGACCTGATCCACAGGCTCTGCAGCCATATGCAGCAAAGGTAAAATGGACAATGTTATGACAATGTCAGTAAATGCACCTTGCTCCCAGGGTTCAAGAAATGCCAAATGATTATAATTATTGCTGATTTCTTTAAACCTGTATAATGGAGTAAGTAGGAAAAGGTGAGCTGCTCACATTCCTGCATCTACTAGGCAGGGTAGGAAGTTTTGAAAGGACACTTTTTCTGAGGGAACAATTTAGTGGTGTTGTTAATAAGTTTAGATGGCATCAGAATGAAGGGTAGGAGAAACCAGCCATTGAAAGGTAGCCAATGGTGGCTTTGATTAAAAGCAAATCACTAATAGGTCTACTGGCAAAGTTGTTTGTGTGAAAGATCAAACAAGTTTGAGGGAAGGACAGCACCAGAAAGAGAAAAAAAAAACAAGTGATAAGGAGCAGGCCAAGCTAGAAAGATTGATCAATATGTTGATTGCTCAGTCAAACAACTGGATTGCAAGTTGTCAAAGATGTGTCCAAAGTAAACCTTATTGAACCAAAAATTGCTCAAATAATAAATTGGGAATTTGCTTCTTCATACTCTAAGAAAACCAAAACAAGGTGCTAGTATCTTGTAACCCCAATTAAAAAGAAATGTGGCTGCAAAGCATTCAAGTAACCCATCCTCATGGTTAAAGGTTTTTCTAATAAATAATTCTGTAATGTGACCAAATCCAAATTGGCATGGACCTCTCATTCTGGTATCAACCAGAAAGCCACATTTATTTAGGCTTATGATGGGAAAATGAAATTAGTGTGGGGCAAATCAAGCAGACAATTACACTCCCACCCCCATATCACTAACATTAGTTAAGATTGACAATTTGCCAAAAATATAGAACTTTTTCATTTCCAGTGCATGATATAGGCTTTGGTGTGATTATGTGCCACCAATCATTACATGAAACCCTGTTAAATTCTTTATTACAGGCATTGCCAACACTATTGCATTTAATGGGAGACCAGTCTGTTGTAGTGCGTGACTCTGTGGCTTGGACACTCGGCCGAATATGCGAAATTTTACCACAAGTTGTCATTGGGGGGAAACTCCTTCAACCTTTGGTTGAAAGTCTTTTAGAGTCTTTAAAGGCAGAGCCCAGAGTTGCTGCTAATGTTTGCTGGGTGAGTTTTTTGAGTTGTCTTATGAGTAAGAGTTGTTGACCTGTCTGTACTTCATGCTACCAGTTATCTGTCTTCTTTGCACCTTGTTGCACAAAGTGATCAGCTAAATTTTTCTCTTGCCATTTGTTCATCATGTCAAAATGAAATTGTTTTTACCCTTCATTTGTTTATTAAAGGCCACATCATAATTTTAAAAAAAAAGCAGTTTAAGACTGCATGTGGCTACTGATATAACACAATTTTAACAGCTTTGAAAAGAACTGGAGGTTGTATAATGATGCTAGACAGTAGTATCACAGAAGATTTGTCTTAAAACAGAAAACCTACCCCATCCTAGATATTTATGAATACCCTGTTCCACAAGAGAAAGATGAATCAAGAATATAGTGACTAATTGGCACTCAACCAGTGAGTAAACGGTAACAAATAATCATATTAAAAGTTATAGTGACAATAATAATAATAATAATAATAATAATAATAATAATGATAATTCAATAATTTATAGGGGCTAGCCCAAGAACCTCATTGTTTCTCTATAGTTCTATTCTCTAGGCTCCAATAATGATTAAAATATGCTTCTTTTAATTTTAACGATAAAAAATCGTGATAAAACATTTCACAAAAGCATATTGAAAATATGTTGACGACATTTTGATGTTTGGCTAACATTATCAATTCAAAAAGTGGAAGAAAAAATGTTTAAACACTAAAAAGACAATAGGTAATGGAATGTTCTTTTAAACAAAGAGTTTTGTGTGAATGGAATCAGTCTGTGTGTTGAGACAAGGATTGCGCTGGTTGATGAAAAGCATCTCATAGACAAGACAGTCAAATTTTCTGTGGCACTATTTTAGAATGTGGAATTGGCTTTCTTTGAGGAGGCTTGTATCCCCATGGACTGTCGAAAAATGTACCGATCGCAGAGTTTTCATGTTCAACAATGCGTTGATGGAGGTGTTGAGCTGTAAAGCTGACATAATCTGAATTGCACAGATCACATGTGAAAGAGTAAACAACGCATTGTTGATTTATGATTGGAGGCTTGATTTCTCTGGGCTTGAGGGCCAAAATTGGGTCAAGGTGATAATTCTATTGTTACTATCACTCGCTCACTCATTTCAACAACATATGTGGCTTCACCTCTTATAGGAGGCAGTAGCCACTAAAATTCCATTTAAGTAACAAGTTGTTAATGTCATGCTTATTTTCTCTCAAACTGGTTTGATGCTGGTTGAAAGTAATGATGAACCAAACCAACCAAAATATGTTTTCTTCATAGGAAACAGAAATACCCAACAAATCAAAAACTGTTGATCATGACAGAGCACAGCGTAACTGTCTTTGTTTTGTTGTTTGTTTTTATAGGCATTTAACTCCTTGGGGGAAGCAGCATATGAAGCTGCACCAGTCCCTGAAGAGGAGGAGGAACCACAGACTTATGCACTGTCACCCTGGTTTAGAAAAATAGTGGAAAAACTTCTTGAAGTCACAGACAGGTATTGACAGTAGGTGAAAATAGGCAGTGTCCCTCTGACACAAATTTATTGCCCCCCTCCCCCTTTTCAACCATGTGAGGGTGGATGACACCCCCTTAGATATTTGTTACACTTTAAAATTTTCAAGTCATGTTACCTTTACCACCTACTGAACAAACTTTTGGGAGCCTTAGAGGACATGAACTGTGTTGTGGATAGTTGGATTTGCTGGGTGTTGTATGTCATGCAAAATTTTGAATTCTACAAAATGTTAGAATTTCTCAAACAAAGTTCAAAAATATCTTAATGCTACCAGAATTAACAGGTTGCTGTAGCATACCTCAACATAGTTTTATTTTAGAAATTGTAATGCTTCAGTGCCTTATTTATTGTTATGTCAGTAGCAATCTTCTTTTCCAAAAATATGAAAGGGATGATTACTTCTGAATATAGGAGCTCCTTGTACAAGGAAGATCATAATTTAATGGAGTCTTAAAGATTAATTTTGAGGAATGTCTTTGCTTCAGAAGCTGCACAAGTGTGCTAACATTTTCATGTTGTGAGAACAATAACATTTCCCACTTAGTGTCCACTTGTTTTTTGAATTTTAACTGAAACAAACTACACATACAAATTTGTCATCTTTCAGAGGAGATGCTAATAATGGAAACTTAAGAAGTTCTGCTTATGAAGCCGTGATGGAGTTAATAAAAAATAGTGCAAAGGTAAGAGATTTAAGAGAATTTATGGCAAGGGGATAACCTTCCAAAATGGAATTCTTATACAATTACTACCTTGTTTGAATTGAAAGTGGATGATTGGGGTTGACAGGGGTTTCCTCACCAGAATACCTCTTAACTTTGTTGTATCCTTAATTAACAAAATTTAACTACCCTCGTGCTGAAGTGGTGGGTGAATACCTGGTTTAAACAGGGCTTACATTCTCTTCAGCAAGGCATCAGAAAGAATACTGCACCCATAGCTGGAAAATCCCCTCAACCTAGCCATGAGCCCCAATGAGAGATTGTCAGAGCTGAACATAGGTTCACATTTGATGGAAGAGCTCATGGCCCCAGATTTCCAATGTTCCCAAGACATTATATATTACAAGAAGAATGCAGAAGGGGTTAAACAAGAACACAGTGCATGCTGTAAAATAACTGTCATAAATATGATGAACAACTACATTTAAAAACCCCTATAAAACGGCCCAAGAATACCTGAAGACAACTACCAAAATGTTCAGTCATACTATTAGAGAACAGTGACAACAATTCTTAGAAGTACTTGAGGACAATCACTTAAAAACTTTTAGTTACCAGTATGGTTAAAAATGTATACAACAAAATGTTCAAAACAGTAGAAGGCAGTGGCTCAAAGCAACAAAGGAATGCACAAGGACAACTGTAACAAAACCAGTCAAGAAAAGCTTAGAAACAGTCACAGAAATTCCTTCAGAGGAGCTATGAGACAAATTGATATAAAATCTCAAACATATTTACAGAATTGAGTGCTATAAATTGTTCAGCAAGAGTATTGCTATGTTATAGAAACAGTTTTTGCTATCTGGCCTCTCAATGGCTAGATTGCAGTGGCTTTTGCTTGGTTATAGCGTGGTCAGGCAGTGATGAAAGAAAGTGAATTAGCTTAAACTGAAAACCAGAATGTACCAATTTGTGAGAAACATTTTGTCATGAGTCTCAAGACAAGAACCAGACATAGCTCCTCTGATCTTAGTGAGTTTGTTTTACGACAGGGAAGTGTGTCTTGTAGAAATGCATCATGTTTTTAATATGTACTTGTATATGATCTTGCAGGATTGTTATGAAGTGGTTCAAGGAACTACAGTGGTGATTCTGGAAAGACTAAACCGATTGTTAGAGATGGAGGTGAGTCTACAAATATTTGGTCTTAGTATAACTTAAGATATCCTAAGTAGTTTCTTGATCTTTTCATTTTACCTTAGACTTTATCTTGCTCCAAGTAACCTTTTCTCACAAATCACAAAGCATTTAAATTTTAAAAACTGTAAAATATTACTGGTATTAATTGTGTACCTAACTAGCATGGTCATCATTCTTTGTAGAAAAATGTTGCAGACAGAGCCCAGTACCATGACTTGCAGTCTCTGTTATGTGCAACACTACAGGTAAACAGTTGTCCTTTGATGCCCTTACTTCTTATGTTGCCTCTTTTCAGTCTAGCATTATTGTATTTGCTTGAATAATTGCCCACGCTCAAATAAACACCCTCTCTAATTGAGCACCCACCCCTTTGGCCAAAATATCAAACAAGTGCCCCTCTTCCCTTCTCCCTCACTCTCTTAAATAAGAGGGTTACAGGGAAAACCTGTTTGTATTGCCACTTTATTTATAACTTTTTAAGTTTCAACTGTAGCTGAGGAGAAGAGTTTCTTTTGTCACTTCCAGTTATTTTGAGGCATGGTTATTCCTGTCTTCATGTGCTTGCAGAGCTCCTTTATATGTGTTATCTTAATTTTTGTCATGTTGCTGCACAAACCTACTTAGTGCTTCACTCAGTTAAGTGCCCTTCTTCCAACAACCGGTAACCAGTCAACTCGCCGACGGACCAACTCGCCGACGCCAACTCGCCGACGTCAACTCGCCGACGTATAAAATCGAGTAGAGACATCGGCGAGTTGGTCGTCAATCCAATACAACTTATTAGAAGTTAAACATACAGAAAAGTAAACGATATTTAGTAAAATGGGTACTTATTTGAGCAAGTACAGCATTTAACATGACATTCTACTCAAATGATGTGAGAAGATTCAAGATTAAAAGACTGGCTGTGCAAGGGGGCAAGATGAAGCAAATCCTTTGTTCCCAAGGGGGAAGTTGGGTTCATTTTTTTAGCAGGCCAGATGGGTTTATCTTGCCTATCAAAAATTGCTTTTAATGGGTGATAGCAACTTTATGGAAACCTTATCTGTTTCAACAAAAATGATTCCCAAACATTGAGAGTGAATGTGTTACATCGGTCAAAAGAGAGAAAACAGTGACGAGCTCCTCAAATTCGATTCTGAAATTTTTGGAGGTGTCATGTTTTTCCTTATGGTAAATATTAATTGGCTGAGGTAGCTTGGCCAAGATGAACAGATGTTGGCTGCATTCTTTTTTTGTGTATGTTTGATGGACCGTAACTCTTTGTTGGTCCAAGTAGGTTGTTGAGTAAGTTGATGAATAAAGAAGAAAAAAGAAAAGATAAAAGAAAAAAAGTACTCAGTAATCATGATGGAATAAGTTTGATCAAGAACGCATATTACTAGGGATCATTGTGCTGAAGCTGAATTACATAAATACCAGATAAAAGGAACTACACATTGGGAAACTTCCAGGTGATATTTGGCCAACTAAGCACCCCCATCAAATTCTTATTATTTTTAACAATTCCTCAATGTGATTATTTCCCTTACAGAGTGTGTTGAGGAAGGTGAATCCACAAGATGCACTGCAAATTGCCCCCCTGATGATGCAAGCACTGCTTCAGATGCTCAACCCTAGCTCAGGAGCGAAGATTGTGGGTGGGGTGCAGGAAGATGCTCTGATGGCCATTGGTACTCTAGTGGAAAGTATGTCAATGAATGAAAAAAATGAATAATAAATATTGATAATTGAATTGAGAGGAGTGCAAATTTAATTGGAATAATGCGTTGAGTGAGCCCGCAGCACAAGTTTGATTTGAAATCACAAGTGTGATTTCAGATCAAAAATTGCACAACAAAAAGTTTAATTTCCACTTATTTACATCCATTTTGAAATTGCGAAATTCAGTCCCACAAATACAGGTATTTTTAGTCGGTATAAATATTTTATTGATCCAGCACTAAGCTGGTCTGTAAAAAGCTGCAAAGGTGGTTTATCATTTTCCTGTAATTTGAATGATTTTTTTTTTAATTATTGAAATATGATTGGTTGTTGCATTAAGTAAAGTTGTCTCACTGGCTGGGAAAAAAGATGCAATTTAGAAAATAAAAGGGTGTGATTTGGGAATAAATCACACTGATGAGGGCCAATCAGATTGCAGAGATCACCAATGATTTCAAAATGTGTAATAGAACTCGTAATACAATTACTAATTTGAACCTGGGAGTAGCATTCGCACGTGTTGTGTAGTAGTCTAATCGTTCATAACAAATATTCTGTCCTTTTGTAGTTCTGGGGAAGAATTTTCACCCTTACATGGAATCTTTCGAGCCCTATTTAATAGAAGCACTGAGAGAGCGAGTTGAATACCAGGTGAGTTGTTCTTGTTTGGATTTGAGAGAACCTTCAATGCTATTTGATGCTGAGGATGTTTACAGTTGAGACAGACAGTCAGACAAGTTAGTGAAACTTAGGCAGTGCAAGTATCATTTTGAAAGAAGTTGTTTATGGTAGAAATTTTTTTTCCTTTTTTCCTTATTTTTTTTTTAACTGCAGTCACTATTTGTATCATTGTGATTGTATCGAAGAAGGGGAAAAGAGAAATAAAAAAGATAAGAGAGAGAAGGAAACGAGCGAGTTAAAAAAAGATAAGAGAAGGGAACGAAAGAAAGGAAATGAAAGCAGTGGGAAGGTGGTGGAAAAGGTTTTAAATCTCAATAAGTAATGCCAGTGTGGTAAGTAATGACAACAAAAAAACAAAAGTAGCAAAGCCTCTGGCAAAACAACCGTCAACAGATCATCATCATCAGTATGTTTGGTACGGAAGAGAGGAAAGTGCATTTGGCGTTGATTCATCGTTTCTTGACCTTTTTTAACTGAACCACCTTTTTCACGTGACAGTTAATTTGCCCATTGGGCCTGAAACTAAAAAGGACATCTTCAGACTCTATTTAGTGACAATCTTTTTGTTCAGCGTTGCGTAGACCAACATTTTCTCTCTGTTTCATGTTTTCCGTCTTTCTATAACAGGTTTGTGTTGCCGCTGTCGGATTAGTTGGAGACATTGCTAGAGCACTAGGAGACAAAATAATGAATGTCAGTGACCTTTTCATGCAGATTTTAATGGAAAACCTGGCGGTGAGTACTTTCTTTCTATCGTTATGACCCTTGCCCCAAGCGCGATCGGTTTTTCTGGTTGTTGTCCCTTGCATATCTTAAGTTTTTGATACTAGCGTTCTTTTCTTTTTATGCTGTTATCCAGAAACCAAACGTATGAGCAAATGTGGCCAGTTGTTAGGTCAATGAGTTCTCAAAGACGACATCAACAAATTTGGATTGGGTAGGGGTAGGGGGAGGGGATGACCAGAACGTTAATTATGTATACTTGTTTTAAATTTGTACTATGTGCGATATCGCCTCTTCGCGGTGCTCTTTCCGATCCTCACTGCAGTTACAGCGCACACACATGCGTGGACGTTCGACTGCTTTTTTTTTTCCTTACCAGTTTCGTTTTGAATTTTAACAGGACGCAAATGTCCATCGCAGCGTCAAACCTCATATTCTCTCAGTTTTTGGTGATGTTGCTTTAGCCATTGGGCCCAGTTTCGCTCCTTACTTTGATGTTGTCATAGCAACTCTGAATCAAGCTTCAGTTACGATTGTGGACAAAGTAAGTTATTAAAATTTGGATGGATGAAAAAAATATTTATTTCTATGCATAAAAACGTTCTGAAAGTACTAAAATGAGCAGTGAAGGCAAGAGTGAAAAAGGAAACGACACTAGTGTCCTCAACATTCTCGTGACAGCCAATATGCCCCCTGGACGATCGTTTAAGGGTTCATGTTCAGGGCTCAGGAGCCAGTGTGGAGGAACTTTATTCGATCAAGGTCAAATTTTTCGAGAGCTGGGATGAAAGGTTTTAAAGAGGGGGGGGGGGGCGGGGGCGGGGAGTGCTTGGCTACACTTCCTGAATAAGATTGAAGTTTCTGGGAGGTTGTCCTTTCCCAGCTTCATATCCAGGTTTTCATGTTGATTTGCCATATTGGACAACCTCTCTTACATGATAATCAGCCAGATCTTTCGGTCTGAATTTCAGGCGGATTATGACATGGTGGACTACTTAAATGAGCTCAGGGAAGGATGTTTAGAAGCTTATACTGGGATTATACAAGGACTGAAAGGCTCTACAGACGGACCCAGTCCAACACCTGGTCGTAAGTATAGAGAAGCTACTCAACATCCCTCTTTAATGAATTTCTTACTATTCAGGGTTTCTTCGAGAGCGCGGCTTTGCCAAATTTCCGTAATTGGATAGGATTGCCGCCTAAGACTTACGATTTACCATGAATTGGGTGCAAAAAAATGTGCCCAAGGATAAGTGCAACGTATTTTAAAGTTGCGTTTGTTTTATTACATAAAGTACACGTAAACATAATTGACAACAAGATTGGTATACGAGAGCTGCTATGTAGCTTCTCTCCTTTTCCTTTCTCTTCTTCGTTTTCTTACTGACTATACTCTACATGTGAGATGAAACCTTTTTATAGTATATCCTACAGTGGGTCCTCTCTTTTGAAATAGGGCTCCCTAAAATTGTAGGAGGGGGGCACCCTAAGCCCTTTTTTTTTTTTTTTTTTTTTTTTTTTTTTTTTTTTAACCTTCTAATATGGAACTCTAAGTGGTGTCCAATGAAGCAATTATGCTAATACCCTTCATGTTTGCTGTTAACTGTGATTAGAGTCATCTTGATTCCGTCACTCTAATTGTGGTTGTTATTTCAAATTAGCTCTGGATCTCGTTCAGCCTCACCTTCCGCATATCGTCAGCTTCATTGAAGTCATAGCAACAGACGTGGATCACACGGAGAGCAATGTGTCCAGTGCTTGTGGTCTCGTCGGGTAAGCTGTGTGTGTCTTCCGTTCAGGCGATCCGAGTAATCTTGCTTTGAATCACTAATCCAGATCTTTGTCATCTCGGAGGAACGCCTTTACTCCTTATGAGTGACTTGCTTCTAATTTCTACTTTCAGTATCACCCTTCAATTAAACATAAAGCCGGTCATGAAAATAAAGGAAATGATCCTCAATTTAAGAAGCTCCTGATTGTCAAGCAAATTCTCCTTGTCAGAACCATAGGAAATGTAAAGAGGACAATGTGAAGGATGTGAATACTAATGATAGGGTGTAAGGGATTAAATTTCAAGTTCGTCATTTGCAATCCGTGTTATTCATCTCTGTCCTCGACCATCCTTCCCCCTTTTTGGTTTATTATTTCTCCTTTAGAGTCTATCTGCTTCAATAAGTTATTTAAATGCTTCATTCCTGTTAATGGCGACCCATTAACAACGCTTAACTGCGTTGCTCCTGTAATCACTGAGTGCTCCAACACATTCGAAGTCAGCGTGACGTACTGGTCAAATGCGATGGATATTCTACTAACAAGTAGTCTGTCATAGGCTAGACTGCCAGAACTTGGCCTACTGGTATCTAGTTTATACTTCTTCGGGTCTTAGTGGAGAAGAGGCACTGAAATCGAAGTGTCCTCCCCCATGATTCAGTCGCGTTCGAAGTGGACCTTTCATTCGGGACTCCAGTGTACCAACCATTCGGCCGCTGCGCATCGATTTAAAGCCTTCATATCACTGAAAAGTTTGTTCATAGAAATAAATCATGCCGGCTCGCTATGCAGTTTACTCATTTCAATGATATTGTTTTCGTAGAGATATTTGCTCAGCATTCGGGGCCCAAGTTCATATCCTTCTTGAGAAGCAAGCCATCAACGAGCTTCTTCAAGAAGGACGACGATCAAAGACACACAAAAGCAAACAAGTCGCTTCGTGGGCAACTAAGGAACTGCGTAAGCTCAAACAACAGCAGGTCAGTTGCTTGTAAGTTAGAAGTTCTCTGCTAAATGCACGAAGTGCGATGAACCGTCGGTTGTAAATCTTGCAGTATGGTTAAATGGAGATTTCGGTATTTGTTCAAACCCAGTTCCGTACAGTTTATTGTAGAGTAATTTTGAATTCAAGGTTTTGTTACTAAGTGTCTCTTGGTACTTAATTTGGCGCGCTTAGTCATCAGAAGTACGGAAGTCTGCACCAAACAATTATGTTCTGCAAATATTAAGCCTGGTTTTTATTGGGGAGGGCTCTCTTGTATTCTATGTAGTCTCTTGGTACTTAATTTGGCGCGCTTAGTCATCAGAAGTACGGAAGTCTGCACCAAACAATTCTGTTCTGCAAATATTAAGCCTGGTTTTTATTGGGGAGGGAGACAGAGTCAGAGTCGGAGTTGAACATAAAAGAAAGCTCACTTTCCCTATCTCCAACAATCCCTTAGCAATTTATTTCAGTTTGCTGACCATTTTTTCCTTCTCTTGCAGAATTGATCACTTGAAGGCGACCTCAGAGAGAGCGTGGGAGAGTGCGTGAGTATGGAGCGCCCAAGATGTCGAGAGCGTGCGTGCCTGACATGCGTGGTGAGCGAGTGCGTTACCCCTACCCCCAAATAGCAAAGCACCTGGGCAAGGACCAATTGACAGCCAAGTTGGAAATCACGTGACAAGATGACTACCTCGTAAGCGTGCAAGGTTGCGGTTGTAAACGGCGAAAAAAATGGTTCCTGTTCCGACAATCTCAAATTGTTTGTCGTGACCACAAAAGTGTACGAAGACTTTATTTGTCTCCCCGACAAAAGTAATTAGAGAGGACGCGAAATAGTTGGCTTTCACGAAGCCAGACGTCTTCGAGGTGCTTAGAGCAAAGTAATGTCTTTCTTTAACGTAGCTGAATGAGACAAATCACCCTTCCCCTAAGAAGAGATTATTATTCTTTCCAACGTTCAATCTGCACCGAGACAGGCGTGCCCTATGAACTTTGCCTATTCTAACCGCCAATTGTTTGAAAAAATGGTATTTTTGTCAAAAGTAGCGGAAATTAAACGATTTACGAGACGAATTTAATGTACAGTAAATATTGCGTTAAAAGATAAGGAATTAGACACTCCACTAAAACTGGCTGTAGAACGAAGTGCTTTACAGTTGAGAATGAAATTCTATGTAGCTGAATTAAAAATTAAAAGCAGTTTTCGATACTCGTGTGTCTTGCACTTCTTTCCCCTTCAGCTTTTCAACACAAACATACAGTATTTCCTGTATCATACAACTCTAGATTGAGTAGGTCTTAGAAAAGTGCTTTAAATGTAGATAAGACTCCGCCGTTTGCCTTATTCGAAGAAATTACGCACCCTTTGATACGGGTTAACAAATACGGTATCTAGCTATAATGTAAATTGCATCCGTTAAGAGCCTCTAAAGCGGACTTTTCGAGCGTTCGCCGAATTGTCGGAGCGCGCTAACGAAGAGCTAGCCAGCTTTAGAAACTATTTACGGTGGCCACTTTACATCATCGACTCAGGTGATGAGGCCAAATTTTAGTGTAATACCCCCCACGGAAGCAGCACTACAGTTTCTTCATAGATTTGCATCTTTTAATACGTAGCTTAGGAGGAAGTTTAAAGGAAATGCAAGAGAAAGCACTTGTTCTACTGTATTTATTTAAGGAGTGCAAAAGGTGACATGTTGAGAGAAGGTAGGAGGGTATAGTCCGCAATCAAGCCGAGTGACCCTTACTACCGCAGTTCATCACACACACGCACACCACACAGCCTTTCGTCAGGCTTTCCTGAAAGGTCACCGTTCGCTATCCATACTCCGGGAAAGAGAGAGGCACCGTGAGAGTTGGATGTCTTGCTGAAGAATATAGGTAAATGCCCCGCCCAGGTTTTAGCTTGAACGTGTTAAACAAGTTTTATATGACATCAAAGTACGTGATAGTGAAAGAGAACTAAATATTATTTTAAATGTAAGTTCAATCGTAGAGCCTGCGTAAATTGTTGCATCAGCGGCAAGTGAAAGATGCCATCTTGTTTTTCACGGTATCGCCTGAGGAGAGAAGTAAAGAAATCACGACTCAAACTGGAAATCTCAGTCAGTCTCCGTGTGGACTGTGTAGCCCGCGATTGGCGAGAGCGTGACTGACGCGGACGGAAGCAGTGCTAATCACCATTCGTCACAGACCGACAGACTGACCTATTAATGTGGAGCTCCCCTGGTGTGCAATCTCAAGGGTGTATTTTGATCCATTTAATGGATCTTCCATTCCTAGCGTAATGATGGTAAGAAGACTAAACATAATGATATCCTTCCGTAATAAATATATAGATAAGTAAATAACCAGATAAATAAAGCCATAATTTTAACTTTTTGACCGAATCTCGTTTACTGTAAACTATCTAAAACATTATGTACACACTTGCATGAACAGAAAAGTTTTCGGTTCCCTATAAGTTGAAAATCCTCTAAAGCGTTTCAGGAGTTTCAGTTTAAAAACAAGTATTGGAAGTAAGTACTGGCGTCAGATAAATTAAGCTCGCAAATTTGAGCATAAGCTCATGAGTATCACTCCTGAAACCATGGCATTAAGCCGAAAATTACGCTCAAAAGTTTTCATTTTCTCAGCTCTACAATTCCGCAACCTCTCCTTCCCAATCCCCGCCACCAACAGGTAATTCGTACTAAGGATAAAAGACTTAACAAAGTTCAGAACAACATTTCACTGAATCAAATTCCTTAAGTCTGGGGCAAGAAAAACAGGCTCACTGTTGACAGTGCTCAGGCAACAAAATGTATTTCTTGTTAAAATCTAACATTAACTGATTTTTTTTAAAAAACTTGGTCATTATGCCTGGATCATACCCGATGCTCTGACTAAAGCATTATCCCCAAAATTATGCCGGCATAATTGATCTGAGACACTGATTCACTCTTTTGACTCTCGAGTAGAGATATATTCAATATTTCTTACAATGAGTACCCAAACTGGAGAGCTCAGTTAAATTCCAATGTTGCGCTAACTCGTTACAGTATGCTACGAAGTATGGACTGAATCACGCAAGGAATTTGACTATTACTCTCGGGAAAACCGTGACAGTTTTACAGTAACTAGGTCAACTTAAGAGTGACTGCTTAGAAAGCTTAGACCGCTCGTCATAATTTTACAGTAACTTTGTCAACTGAGTCAATACAAAGAAAACTTATATCACATATCAACAAACAATCGAGGTATCTTTATAAAGATTTATCTCTAAACTGCCAAACAGTTTTTCAAATGAAATGAAAACGAACAAAAAATTTCACCTTTGTCTCAAGCGAAGAACCAAGATGCTGCTGAGTACTGTGTCAACCAATCAACCAATCAGAGCTTCAATCTTAATCTTTCATAAAATCCTTAACAGCATGTGTCAACATTACAGTGCGTGCAAGTCAAAGCTTAGGAAAATTAAAGAAAGATGATTCATAGCTATGGTATTTCCGGAAGACATCATCAAAACTTGAGGTCAAACCTTCAATTCTCCCAATCTTCTCCAGTGAAAAGCGTTAATACACTCGCATGATAAAATTATACAAAGACCCGTGAATAAAGTTTTATAAATCCATAAATTTCTTTGAAAAATTCGCGTTTCTCGTAATCTTTTGCTTATTTTCTGGATCTTAATCATAACATAAAACAAGACCCTCCGGGCAAATTGCTCAAAGTACTTAATCTCTACAGTTCTTCCCACGCCATCGGAAAGCCATTTGAGTGTGAAAGCGAAAGGACACAGAGAGAGGTAAACACAGAATTTTCATACTAAAAATCAGACAATATATGCAAAGCCAAATATATGTCATTGATGGCAGATACTTTTCCTCAAATTCAATTCCATAATGACAGTGTCTATGTAATCGGAGCTCTTTGTTAGTACTAGAGATTACAAGCACAAGAAACCTGAGCATTTTTCGTCAAGGATCATTTGATCTCAATTTAGCTATCTCGTGTACTTTTGGTTATATAACATTTGCTCCAGACTTTAAGGCTACCGACTTCCGAGTGGCTTGGGTCAAGCAGAACTGCAAAACATGTCCGAAATACTCCAGGGATTTCTTGAGTTACAAGAATTCACTTTGGACAGATCTTTGTGGTGAAGTTGATTAAATTTACTTTTGTCGACATAATTTGGTAGAATTTATCAACGGTATGTTTGTCTGACAATTCTTTGCAGTGTGGCAGGTTTCACTTTCACACATTATTACTAACTCTGATTTTATTCTCCTACCCAGTCACGAAATTAATCTATACAAACAAACGCGTGGAGGAAATGTTTAATTTTCAAGATTAATTAATGTTGACTGTATTGCAATCACTGCTTTGAAGACCTTTAAATTTAAAACTTGACAGCATACAAGCAGACTCTTCGAGACATCCACACAAAAGCGGAAGTTAGAAATAATCTTTCGTGGCAAACTCAAAACAGCTGATATTACGGTAGAACAAAGTCGCTATTCCACATACACCGATGTTGAAGACGATCTTGAAATTTTTGGCATAGGCCTTGTTTCACAATATTTAATCAATGTTTACTTTTGGAAACTGTTACGTGTCTACAAGTAGGTATTTCGCCCTCTCAAGAGCAAACTCAAACAATGTAACATACATAAACTTCCTGCGAAGGATGTATTTTACTCTAAACACACTGAAAGCATGTTCTGCTCGCCTGAATGCCTCAACCGATCAAGCGAGGCGATTCAAGGGTGCGAATAACCCGTCAATATCGTTTAATCGTTTCCAGAAATATCGCTTTTCAGATTTTCCGCACGTATTGTTTTGGCATTCGATTGACCGACAAGATAATTATAGATGCAAGAGTTGGTCGCTTCGCCAAGAAAGGCATTTGCTTGGTTCACTGGCGATAAAAACAAAAGATAATTTGTTATCTTTCATATAAATTTTAATTTCAGAGATAGTATGAGAAAGAACAATGAGTACTATTTCATTTGCATCTCCCGAACATGCTGAATGAATGTGACAAATACGGCCACAAGCTAAATATCGCTGTTAAAACAAACGCTTCACTGCCTACAGGTATGTTTTCAGCGAAATAACTCGAAACCGAAACTCACCAACACTGATTGAATATTTTCACCAACTCTCTGATTTTCTTCGACGTTGAAATCGAAGATTTTCATCAGATCGGTTTATTTTAACGATTTTGACATATTTGTTTTCATTCTAGACTTTGCTATTTTTATTCCGCCGCAGAAAGTCGTAAACAACACTAAATTGAAAAGTCACGCACTCCCCTGGAAACACAACGCGTTATTCTGGACCAATTTCAAAAGAAAACATGACGTTTAATTCCTTTTCACGCAATTTCCTGATTTCGCTTATTTTAGAGCGTGTACCTATGCATTTTCAGCACGTACGCAACAAAACATTGAAGATCAGTTCACCTTCAGAGAAGTGACATCATAAACACGATAACGTTTGTCATACAACCACAGTTCGCCTCATACGCTCCAAACGAGTCGAAGAACTAGGGTAAAACATTTGGTATTAGGTTGCATTAAAAAAGAAGGTTTCGAGCCAAAAGACTTGAGGATCTAGCGACGAATTTTACACAGAAAATTGTAAGGGCTTTTTCAATACGATTGTTTGTTCGTTACAGCTGATTTTTATATCATGGCCGAAAATAGTCGCAACCTTATAAGGCTTCTGTTAAAATAATGACGGTCATTGGTCAGATAGGATCTTTTGTTTTGACTAATTGCGAGTGCTGACAAAGACAGTGTTTTGATTGGTGGATTTGAGAATATCTGCCAATCATAACGCACATGGCGAATGGATAATTTTACACTCGGCACTTGCAAAGCACCCTTGGGTACCCTGCTTTATTTTTTGCGATTGATTTGAGCGTCGGCGAGTGTGTATGACAGAAGCAATAGTGTGTTGTGTGTTGTGTTATTCTGACATTCCTTCGTCTCACTCACCCGTAGCATCGCTTCACTGACGCTCAGCTACTCACTTCTACGCTACTCTCCTGCGACATGGATCTGCAATCTGCTCTTCCGTGCTCCTCGATTTTCCACGAACTACAAACTGTTCATGACACAGGCTTTTTCTACTCGCTTCCATCGCTTGAAGACGATTGGGCACAGGTACGTGTACGTGAATTTTTCTAATGGTTTTGTCCTTGTAGCTTAGCAAGCGTAACATGTGGCCTTTAACGATGGCTTTGGACACTTAGGAAGCATGCAGCCTCTTGCGCTTCGCGCGAATTCGTCCGTGCTTTGTAAATCAGCCATGTTGACCTCATTCTGTATTCCTTGTGTATTTCGTTTTCGCGCTCGTTTTCATCGCTGCATAGTATAGTATTTTTCTTAATTTTTCTTTCCAGACAAGACTAGAAATGGATCGTTATCTTTGCCCTGAACCATCATCTTTGGATAGTAAAGACTCCAACTTAGGGAATCCAGCTCCCTGGAACGAATTTTTACTTCAACCTTTTGACGAGTCAAATTTTCCATTTGGCGACGACTGGGACATCAAACCGATAGATTTCACTTCAATAGCTACCTTTCCCTCAGTGCCAACAGTTCTTCCAGAAACTCCAACGGAAACTAAACCAGCTATGGAGCTCCCAGTAAAACCTCTAAAGATCAAATTACCGACCCCGACGGGCTGCGAAGAGATTAGCAAAATTCCTAAGCCTGTTTTACCGCTAACTCCACCGAGCTCACCTGAGTCGCCTGTCGTTGTGTTTAATAGCCCGAACCAGCAGAGAACAGGCAGGCCAAGTGCGCGCTCCCCTCGCGCGAGGGGAGGAAATGGAGGTGCTAGAGCAAACAGCCCCAAGGACAAAGACTCAGAGAGCAAACGGCGAGTGCATCGATGTCAATTTAGTGGTTGTCGTAAAGTTTACACGAAGAGCTCGCATCTGAAAGCTCATCAACGTACTCATACGGGAGAAAAGCCGTACCGTTGTTCTTGGGATGGATGCAACTGGCGTTTCGCTCGCTCGGATGAGCTTACTCGCCATTACAGAAAACATACTGGAGCCAAACCGTTCAAATGTGTTCATTGTGATAGGTGCTTTTCACGATCAGACCATCTAGCTCTACACATGAAGAGACACGCATAGGAAAGATAGGTAGAAAATTATTCTAGGAAAAATGAATTTTGCAATTTAGAATTCATCGCGCTCGGGTCTTCATTCAAACGAATTTGAATTGCCATCAATAATTCAAGAGCAAAACCCCAGGTGTGCGAAGTAGGTACCGCAAGTTGGTACGAGATATTCACGGAAACATGTGAATTCTTTACAAGTCTTACGCAAAGAAGCGATAGTAAAGCGAGTTGGGATAAATGTGACAGTGAAAGTTATCCAGAGGAGTAGTATTATGGAATAAGTTTACTCATTTGGGCGCCAAAAGAAGCGGATAGAACATGTATTAGCATAAAATCCTGCGGAAATGAAGCAGTGAATAGAGGCAACTCCGATGGGAATATTATTCAATTCAGGGACAGACCATGTATTATTCTCAAAATGAAATTCAACACAGGAACTTCACAAAATACGTCGCTTCAAGAGAAAATAAAAACACTAGAAAATATTCGTTCGCGCAAAATAAGAATAAGCCTCGGGGTATGTAATACCGATGTAAACAAAATTAGTCATTCGTTCATGTTGTACTATGCAGGCTTAATTCAAGTTAAAAACATCAAAAGAAAAAGGAAAAAACTAATAAGAACTTAAACGGACTAAGTCTATGATGTAAATATATAATTTTGGCATCTCTGTATCACGAAGACAGAAGAAATTAGTGTACAGATATATTAAAATTGAAAGGAAACGTTCTTGATTTTGTCAAGTGTGTTTTCAGAGCTAGTGGCGAGACCAATTTCATTTTTATTGTTACAAGTCGAGCCAGATGTTTTTACGTCTAAAATCATTCTCTTATACATTGTTTATTGAAAGAAAAGCGCTTTCTCTTTCCTGACGGCGTAGATAAGCTTGGATATGTGTTGCAGTGTAATCTTTGTTTATGTGACATTTCGTTGTCGTATTGGCTTTAGCTGCTTTGGCGTATCACTACATTTAAATGCGAAAAGTAATCCGGCTTTTACAATATCAGACCTTGCTGTCTTGTTCTGGCAACGAATTTAATTTAGAGCTAGTACATTTTAATAATAGCAGAGCATTAATTGCTGGCTTAAAGGGTTTCACACTTTTCTGACAGCAGAAAGTGTTTATCAAATTTACATACTTATTTACTTTGACCGATAGTGTGGAAACTTGCCTTCTGAGCCGACGAGACTTCGACGAGAAATTGGCCTTGTGGTGTCGTCAAAAGAGTTCGCTTGGACAAAGGGGTTCGATTTATTTATCAATTCTATGAAACCACAAACGTAGTTCGATTATTTTCCCTGAAATGAAAAGGGAAAAAAAACAAACGCCTGCTACTGAGATCAAATTGGAAATGATATCAATTTTGTCGATAATTTTTTTGGCAATGACTATTTTTTGGAACTGAGCACGTTTTTCGCGCCGCGTCCTTTCTGTCCATCGAACGAGACAAAGTAACTAATTTAAATTGTGGGCAGCTGGACGTAATCATTAAACTTTAAAGATTAAAGTAATGTCTTTTTACGATTCTTACTCGCGACTGCGCCATGTCAGTCATGTGTATTTTCAACAACAATAACTTGTGAGGAGACATTTAATTTTTCTTCATCCTTAGGAAGTTATCCCTTTTATTTCTCAGAAAACCCTGTTCTCTTTTATGATAACTGTGCAAAGTGAAGGGAACCCTCAGTGTGTGATATTTTAAACGAGTACCCAACTTAATTTTGCTGTAGGAAATCGTTTTTCGGCGAATGCTAATGAGTTTCTTGCGCTGATTTCATCGGTGCCTAAAGAAAATTTGACAGAGCTTTAAAGTTGTCATAAGCCTTTTTCGCTTTTCCGTGCAATTAGGAAAGGCAAATGTTATTATTAGGTTGTAAGAAATTCCTTCCTTCCCTGACAGTGTGTTCATTATGCGTAGGTTGTTTAGAATTTCCTCGAAATTGCTTCCAAACAAAAGCTTGCACTTTACGGTGAATGAAAATTTGGTGTTCGTACTTTTATGTAAGGGTCGTTTGTGTCATTTTCTAGGACGATTCTGCCAGCTATTGGCAGCGCGACAACAAGAATATTTATTCTTTAAATGTTCTCACCTTAGAATTCTTCCAACATTTTATTAAAATCCTTTTAGGAAAACAAAAAATTGTTGGGACCATTAGCATTCTGTGCTGTATGTAATTGATTGAAATTCTCTTTCATTTCTTGGGTGGAACGGATGTAATGTATTCACCCAAATATATTGGTTGACGACTGTATGCTCACAAGCAGAAATCTCGTGTATGGATTAATCGTTTCAAAATGAGTGTTTCCCAAGGGACTGTGGATTCCCACACATAGAGGGCACATTATTGTCACCAAATTGCCTCCAACCTGCGCAAGAAGAGGGGGCAAAGATAACTTACTCAGCTAATGCTACTACACAACCTATCACTCTGCTGGAAATAGACTAAGCAAGGCCTCTGGAAAGTGTCATCAGCATAGTATTCTTGATGCAAAGTTTTACATGTTGCGATCAGATTATTAACATTTCCCACGACCTTTAAATGCTGTCATGGTATACCGATTCTTTTGTCTCTAATTACCTAATGGAATTCAATTTACAGGCTTTGGCATCCCTCTGAGTTTGCCATTTGTTTGATCAACTTGCAAGAGTCTGTCTGTAAGTTCAATCTCTCCAGGAAATGGTGAAAATCATCATTATAACCACTAAGAAAGGCCCCACTGATATGTTGATGACCTGCATTCTGCAGATGCAAGTGAGCTAATGAACGATGGAAGTAGTTAATTAAAGTCGGTCAGGAAACTTAAAAATAATGAATTGGATTTTATTTCTGCAAGGGCTTAGATGTGTAAACATGCTGCTCTTGAGTAACTTGACCCAAAGCAAGTTATTAATAGGTTTTTATCTGTAGTAGTTTGTTTGGTAGGGTAAATTTATGCTGATACTGCTCAGATGCATGGCCAAAATATTCTGAAACCTACGTAATTCCTGTTATTGTAATTCAAACATACAGAAGTTACTAAATAAGAGAAGCTATCAAAAAAGCCAGAAAACCCAGACATGTTTACATTTCATTTAAACTATCCATGTAAAATAAATTTAAAGATCAAGCATTCAATCAATCAGTAGGGAACAGGATTGGCTCTGCTAAACCACAAAGTTCATCTTTGTGGAAATTTATTGAATGAGACACCTTTGAATGTTTTCTTTGGAGTGAAAAAGTGATAAATGTATTGTTTAACCATGGGCATGTTTTGAGGTATATTGACTGAAATTGATTGGCTATCTGGTGGTCAAATATTGACATCCTGTGAATGAGCTGAATCCCAACTTGTGTTACATTAGTGTAGGCATCATCATGCCACAATTTGTAAACTTTCATTTCCTGTGCATCCATAATTAGGTCTGTGTTTCAAACAAACTTGTCTGAAAACCATTACAGTCAATTGTACATTTCAAAAGCATGAAGCATAAACTTTGATGGAAAAAGCTTTTATCAAAATACACCATCTTAACGCCTATTAGTTTAATTATCTATGAGTTACCTGGTCTGAATACATTATTTTCAAACTGCATTGTTATTTCCAAAATTACAATACAAAAAAAAAAAAAAAAAATCAATCTTACTTAAATATGTATGGGTAAACTTAATCCAGAAGCAACATGGAGGCATTATGCAAACACAAAATGAACTATTAAAAATACAGAAATTGATTATGCATAGACAAAAAGATTAGAGGCTTACTTTTTACAATTCTGTCTGCATTTGGCAAATAGACATTTTAATCATTTGAAATTGAATTCAAATTGTTGAGTGACAAGCTTGCTTTCTATATACCTCAGAAAAACTAGTATTTCACTACATTTTCCTTCTTGTCTTGGTCAAGATTTTAATGGTGTACAAGTTTATAACTTACCATGACTGTAAATTTAAAATAACTGGAGAGTAGAATTAAAGCTGCTTCCATTCAAGGGTAAGGAAAAACAACTCTATGACTGAGTAGCTATCAACATATAATTCTCAAAGTGTTCTGTTATGAAAGAATTCTTGGATACCCAGGACAAGAAATTAAAATCTGTCCTGAGAAGTTGGGTTTCATTCAAGATTATTTGGAGGGCTCAGAGCAAGAACGATCCCTTGATTTTTCGGCCATTTTTGAAAGTGTCCACATGCCAAAATTCAACTACTTCTGAACACTTTCAAAAGGCCAAAAAATCAAGGGATCGTTCTTGCTCTGAGCCCTCCATTTAACTAGCTTTCACTCCTACAAGTGATTGACACATTGACTCTCCTCACACTACATTATCTTGCAAACAGGTGATGAGAGTTTACAAATACCCTTACCCCTCATGACCTGAAAATATTGGCTTTTGAGTATTCATTCATTAACTCTTTCCCTCCCAAGATCTCATTAAAAATCCTCATTACTGTCTGCTCTAAAAGTCCTATGATGTTACTTTGGAGAATTTGGTATTGGATCAACCAATAATCCCCTAATTTATATTTTTCTTTATTCACATCACTTGGCTACTTGATATTTTTAGAGTATTAATACTTTAAGGAAAAAACTATGTCTTGGTTATCCTTAGGAGTGAAAATGTTCAACCCTTTACACCCTAACATCAGTATGCATATTCTCCATGCTTTTCTCTAAACATTTCCTGAAGTGCTAACAAGGAGAGAACTTTTGGCCTGAATACAGTCATGCACTACCATTTCTTATATTAAAGAAAAAAAAAACAAACAACCATGAGCATATGAACACTTTGATGAACTCAATTTCACTTTCTTCAGAACTCGATCAACAGAAGCCTTTACTTGACTGCATCCCAGTCATATTATTGCATTGGTTTCAGAGCTCAAGAGAGGTTCATTTGTGACTTCAGATATTCTTTTGAGCATCTTATCTAATTAAACCTAGCTCATCAATCAGTGGATTGCAATCAGAGTAAACCCAACTCCTGCTGCTGACATTACTTGTGAATAACCTGCCAATTATGTTATGTGTATTTGCTTAGCAAATCAGCCAGTATCTTGAAATCAATGTCAGAAAACCATGTTATTTTGGTAAAATATTGTATTTTAAATTAAAGCTATACAGAAACATTTTAACCACTTTGCTGAACTTTCAGGCTGTCTTGTCGAACAAACTTACTACAGCATGTGCCATAATAAAAAATTTTTACATTAGTCCTCTTGTTGAGTTAACTTGTGAATAACATTCTGTTCATGACAGAAGTTGAGCAATGCTGTTGAAAGGACAACACACAAAATTTTTCAGTCATCATACATAAAAAATATTGATCAAGCCCCTCACATTTCAGCACTTGATGTGGGCAGTAAGAGGTCACTGCACTTTGAATTTTAAGATTAGAAGAAAGAAAAATATTTTTGAATGGATAATTACATCAGAGCAGCTGTTTTGGTAAAGTGCTCTTTTGTCCACTGGACAATTAACTTATTTGTTGCAATGAAATTTAAGTGGTAAATTCTTGGTGCAGCTATTGCTGTGTTAAAATAGACTGCTGTTAGTATCTGATGTTAAGAATAAAAAAAAAATGCAAACATGATGGAATGCTAAATGAAGGTCAAAGCTTGTTCCTTTAAGAACAAAAACATTTCGTGTCATCTTTTCGTCAAAAGGTTTAACTTTGCATTTAATCAGAAAGAGAGATACAAATCAAATGAGGTACATGTGTTATTGCTCAAAAATGCAACTAGAGCTAAGTAGAGTTTACTTTCGCAAAGATCGCTTTTATATTATTTCTATTAACCTGCAGTTCACATATACGATTTTCATTTATTCCCAATAAAAACTGCAATTAATTTTTTCTCAGTCGTAAACCAAGCCCTATTCAGTAAATCAGTTTGTGGAGCTACAGAATTGAATAACAAAACCTATTTTGGATGTCAAAAAAAATTAAGATTAACATTCATCTGTAGTGGTTAATTTGACACTTATTCCTTTACATTCTTCCTGGCTGCTAACCCTTTAATGTTGGTACAATGTCAAGCATAGAAAACTAATACACTTTGAGTAAAGTTGTCTTGAATCAGATAAAATTTATCAACACAACCCAAAAACAAAATATATGCCAACCAGTTATGAGAATTTAACATTTAATTGTGTTTACAGTGCTATGCGTCACTGACAGCTTTTGAGGGGCTTTTCTCAAGAAATTCAACAGTTATGACTGACATTAATTTTAGCAGCCTTGGGTGGTTCTGAAATAATGAAAATTTATCCCTGAAGATAGCTGTTTATCATAGAAACATAAAGGACAACAGAAAACAAGCAACTACATTTAAAACTAACCAAATTATATGCAACACAAAAACACCCTTGTCAATACCCTAAAGAAAGCAATTAGGCTAACAGATATTTAGTAAAAAGTTCATACTTTTTGGCAACTAAAGCCTTCTGTGTAAGCCAAAGTTTTGTTGCCTTTAATTCTAGAACTCTTGTGACATTTTTTTTTAATGTGTCGCAGGTATTATATACTGCTAATTGTAGTCCACAAGCCTGGTGTGACATGACATCATGCTTAAACTGTCAAAAACAATATCTGTGAAGGTCTCTATGATTGGTTTCATACACCTGGGCAAACATTTCTGGAAAACAGATGCAAAAAACATCATTTCACAAAGATTAGAAACAATGGTAAATTCCTTTTACCCAAATGCTAAATAAATACTTTTGCAGCAACTGTTGTTGAAATAAACCTAGGTTACTCCTGAATAACCAAAAAAAATCAGTTTTCTTTTTAAAAATTAAACAAGCTGCATAAGTTACCTCACTTTGTGCATGGTAAGTTTCAACTGAACAACCAATTGGCTGAAATAAAAAAATTACTTCCAAAAAATAAGCAGTTATTATTTCAAACAATTAAGACAAGCTAAACAGGTTATGTGTCAAGAAAGAGTAAGAGCAGGTTTTTATCTAATCTGTTAAATGGCTTGTAGCATTTCACAGCTGGAACAAACAAATATTCCTGAATAATGTCATGTACATACATAATCAAAGGCATTCAGTCCAGGTTGCAATTCAAAAAGCATCTCCAGGATCTTAATCAAAGCTCATTTAAATTTAGATGGGGTTTATGAATATTGGCCCAAACCCAGATTAGTAATTCCTTTTTTTAAATTTTATTGCTTCTGGCACTAATCCCAATTTTTTTCCTTTCTAAAATATTGTGAGGCAATTTTAAAAGCATCATTCTACAGTATCTAAATCAAAGCTAATTTTAAATTAGATAAGGTTTTTAAAATATTAGCCCTTAACCCAGCTTAGTATTTTTTTTTTCCTTATTTTGCTTCCAGTGCTAATCCTTATTTTTTTTCCTTTCTAAAAATACAAAACTCATTTGCAAAGTAGGCTTAGAAACTGCATGTGTTCCCTGAGGAATTTTATTATGGTCACAAATAATTTTCTTGCATCTACTTTCACAAACATTGTTTACAGTGTTTTGTTGAAAGTCACGTAGAGGCAATTTATTCATGAGCAAGTTATTGTCCTTCCAAATAATTGTCTCAGACTTATCTTCACAAACAATCTATATTTTTGTGCAGAAGGTCACGTAGGTAAAATTTAAAGTAATCCTGGTAAACAAACAGCACTCTTACACTTTTTGTTCTTTGTTAAATGATCCATGAATAATTGTCTACTTTTGTAAATGGCTTACCAAATAAGTTATATAACATTTTTAAGCTCAAACTCTGCAAAAAAAATTGTCACTTAAATAAAAAAATCGTGTCAGACTAATGGTTAACACTTTGAAGTGGTTCAATAAATGTTCTGAGCTCACCATCAAACAAACACACACACAACAAAACAAGATTGTTGTCATACAAAATCTACAGATCCTTTTTAATACAAGACTCTTGCATCTCCATATAATGGACAAGCAGACCCTTTGCTTATTGTAATTTAACACCCAACACCTTACTTGACAGCAAATCACATTATTTTGTGAATACCAATTCATAACAGAAAGAAATACACTGATAGCTTTTGACAAATGAGGAGACTTCAAGATGTTGTATAGAATATTTTGTCTTATCCAATACTAGTTGCATGCATGTAGTATACTCTTGGCAACAAAAGAGCATCAAACCATGGTGTCCTGTCCCAGAAAATACTTCAAATTATTAATCTATGCCATCCAACCTTTATTTGATTCCAAACCAGTGATAGACAGTTGTTAATCATTCAATCCTTGTTCTACTTTGGTTCCCTAAAACCTCTGCATGGGTTAACGAGGAGCTATTGACATTGTACAGTGTATAAATACAAGTTGATCAATTTAGTTTTGATATCCTTTCAACAGTAATTCCAAAGTTCTGGCATCTGCCACATGCACATGATTTCTCAAAAAACCAATCAACATCAAAACCTGCAAAATTCACCGTTTGTCTGAGAATAAAATTTCAACAAAATTCTATCAGCTTTCATAACTTTCCTTACATCTCCACAGTTGACTATTATACATATTTACACTAAACAGTTAAAATTGTCTTAAAACTACTCAATGTTAATTTTGCAGAGGTCTATAGACTCAAAATATATTTTGTAATGAACAACTAATTTCTCCAATTAAGTCTCCTACTAGACTAACAGGAGACTGTTTCTATTAGCATTAAATAACTAAATTGCTAACTTACAAGTAGATATATTGTTGCCAAGAAATTTATTGCTGTATAAAGATTTAATTTATTTAATAATTAACTAATATTGAACAAGTTCAGGTACAAAAATTTTGAAAAATGAAATGAAAAATAAATCATAAACACCACCAATAAATAAAGAAGCAAACAAAAATTTGCAGCTGGAGGATGAAACATTTCTCAGAAAATTTCCAATTCTGAAAAAGGTTTTAAGAAAACCTTAAAATTCATTTGTACTTTAAGTCAGTTGAAGTCTGTATATTAATAACTTTTAATCACTAACCAACCAGAAGGTGACATATCGATTTATATATTCCTGGAATGAAAAAAGACATAAACTTAATTCAGTAAGCATTGAGAAACATCCATAACATGAGTATGGCGTCAAAATGAACTCTATAATTGTAACTAATATTGCTTGAGTTTGTGCATTTATGTTTCGGTTTTCATTGTTGCATTTTGCAAAAAGAAAGAAGCTGCATGCCTCTCAGGTTTTCCTGGATCAATCTACTCCCCTGGCCCAGTTCTTCTCAATATCTAGTTTCTTTGGGTTATCCAATTTTGCTCATTACCTAAACTGACTAGTGGGAAACAAAGATTATATGTTTTAACAATAGCAGCAAGGGTTGTCAGTAGAGTCATATGCCACAACGAAACCCAGTCTTGTAGAGAGGTGAGTGTTTGTAGCCAAAGTGCTTGAAAGTCAGTTCCTGTGAGACATGTTACAGGTCACTCTAATGAAAATAAACTTTTTGTTATTTTTGTAATAATTTTTTATTCCCTTCATTTTGCACCACTATTTAGGAGGTCTGTAATTTTGCACAGAGGTTATCCTCAGGTATAGACTGTGTGAAAATTTATTTACAACTTATTTAAGTAAACTACAAGTAGAAGGTCTGGAAACACTCAATTTTAAATTTGGAGTTTTTTAGTGGTGTGCACTTGATCATGTGCTAGAAGATTTCCATGAATGATGAACAGTCTACAGAAAATAAAGTGCACTATTTGAATTCTAAAATTGGTAAATGTTTGTTTCACTAATATTTAATAACTTATGGTTTATCCCATGAAAAGCAACCTTTACTTTACCTTTATTACATTTCTCAGTTGATACATGCACTTTGATTGGTCAATTTAGTGGGCTGTATTTTACTGTACAGCCTGCTAAATTCAAAAGTTTGTTTGAATTGAGATCCTCTCCTTCTCTATGAACCCAAAGATATTGTATAGCTTACTAATCTCATTTTCTCCATCTCTAAGTAATGGAGAAAGTTTTCTCACCTGTGCAATTGGGACATTTAAAGACCCATTTTGACCAGTATGCATTGCACACAGAATTGGCCATCAGTGGCCATTAACTTGATGGTGACTACTCCACAAGCTTATAGAAAACAAAACAAGCCTCGCTCTTGTGAAACCAGGACAAAATCAGAGGCATGCAATGTATACTGGCCAATACTGGGTATTTATTGCAAGTGGAGTGGACATCTGGGTCCGGGTCTGTATCTTACAGTACAGACCTCAACTTGATTGGTAAGAGGTATCTAAACCACCAGTATTAAAAAGCATAATTGCATGACTATTGTATTTCATTTCATTATCTAGTGGAGATTTACTAAGGATTTTATCTTCACAAAAATTAAAGGTAAGATCTTAAATAGTAGCATGAAAATAATGGCTGTAAGATCTAGGCAATTGCTAATTACTTTTTGTGTAATTCATATTTCTTTATTTTGTCCTTTCGTTTTTCATACCTCCTTCTTGGTGATTTTTGTTGAGGGTCGTTAGGTTTGTTGAGGTTTGTCAGTTACACCTTTTCATAACTTTTCATACTGCAGGTTATTTCATGGTCCTCTTGTATTTAAAGCCAGTTTCTTTAATGCATGATCACTTTTTTAAAGTCAGTTTACCTTTAAGTCATGCTTGGCACAGTTCTCTGTTTGGAAACCTTCAAGGTATTCGATTTTGCAGTAATATATTAGGCATTATCAATGTAAGTATTTTTCCAATTTTGTTCCATTACTGTTCATTTTGTGTTTGTACTTTTCTATCTTAATTAGTTAATTCAACTCTTTACCTTTTTAGTTTCAACCTACTACTACTTAATAAACAACTACTACAACCACTACTTTTACCACTACTGCTGCTGCTGCTCTGTAAATGAGTAATATTTTTTTAGTTGAAATGAAAATGCTTGTGCTGTTACAAGGGTCAAACATTGTTTAGTGGAACTTAGTGAGGCATGTACATGTTTTCATTTGAAATGGGACTACTAACAACATGTTTACAACTAAAAGTGACACCACTTCATCACACTCCACAGGTAACTTTTTAAAATTTTGTTGAAACACCATGCTTCCCTCTTAATATTAAACTGTATTCATGACATCTAGTTTACTTGTTACCAACATTGACATATAGGAAAGAGTGAATCTCTTAAAAATTGTCCCAAAGATAATTGCTTAAAACTATTTTGACTTCAAAATCATTACAATCATCACTCTCTTGCTGATCACAAAGTAATGACAATTCTGTATCCTACCTTGTCAGGAAAAACACACATAGACCCATACTATCTGTACTCATCTCCACAGTCACCAGTAGTCTCAAACAAGTCATTTCCTTTACTAAGAGTTTGTTCAATTTTCTGGATATCCTCTGGAGTGAGTTCCAAGTCAAGAAGTTTTAAATTTTCCTCAATATGCTCAGCTCCTGCTACACCAAACCTACAGCCAATTATGATGCCAGCAACTTCTGGCTTGTCTAAAATATAACGACAAGCAACATTAGCTATGGTGCAGTTATGAGCCTGTGCAACATCAGACAAATTTGATAAGAGTTCTTGAAACAGCTCCCAACTCCCCCATGCATCGATCATGTGCTTATACTTTGCAAGAGAAGCTGTTTGGAGATCAGATCTTCGAACTGGCTCTTTTTGGTTCAGATATCGATCAGATATCAATCCACCACCTAACGTGCCATAAGCTAAAAGCTTTATCCCATGTGCCTGACAAAGTTCGACCATTTTCACCTCAGGGCGACGGTCAATGATAGAATATTGCACTTGATTGGTTGAGATGGAGATTCCCCTTTTTAAGATTTCCATCAGGTGTTGGGTGTCAAAATTGGTTAATGCAATCTCTCCAATGAGACCTTCAACTTGCAGTTCATTGAGGTAAGTCAGTGCATCAAGGTATCTATTGTCAGAGTAATCCCACCAGTGGAACTGTAGCATATCAAGCTTGTCAACACCCATTCTTTTCATGGCGAGGCGAACACGTCCTTTGGTTATCTCTCTTGTGACTGGTCCCGGCTGTGGCACCCATTTTGTTAGTGCTATTGATTACATTAACAAAGATAGTTGGATTTCCTAAATTGAGAATCAATTAATAAGCTAGGAGGGAAAATCTTTCCAAGCCTGGGAAGGGTTAAATTTTGTTTGGCTCAAATATGCCGGAATTTTGGCAACTATGATCCTACATCCCAGCCGGAGAAGGGGCCATCTAACCCTTTCACTCCTTAGAGTGACCAAAAAAAAGTTCCTTTTACAGTATCAATACATTTCAGGTAGAAGAGTACTAATAGGAAGAAAAAATACTTTAATTAGGAGATACAGTTTGATTCAGAAAAAAATTCTCAACGTTAACATCATAGGAAATGGAGGACAGTGCAAAGAATTAATAGTGTGATCTTGGAAAGGGAGGGGTTCTGGGTGTGAGCCACGAAGGACTTAAAGCCTCGGGCCTGTTCAAGACGATATCCAATCATTCCTCTACATTCTGTTCACCTGGAAAAGTTGTGTTTGGTAAACGTTATAAGTTTCAGCCATTGCCCTTCTTACGAGCATCTGCAAGGGTAATTCACGATGTCAATGCTTGAAACAATTTAAGAGAAAAAGATGCAAAAAATTTCACTTTCATAATGTGTCATCCACAACCGTGAGTAACCACTACAGAACAAGTCTAAAATATCGTTAGTTCTAGTTGAGGAAAACCATAGAAAATCAAAATTTTAAATTGAATTCAGGCATTTATGAATTGTTAACTTCTCGAAAGCTAGAATTCGATTTCAGTGACAATTAAAGCATCATCACAGGAAGCTTTTGAGGTGTATTCGGCTAATGGTCATGGAACGCGATGTCCCCACTGTTTCATTACCAGGCGTACAAATTGAATGTATATCCTACCAATCCACAAGCCGAACGCTTACCTTGCACTTTTCCGGCAGATTCCTCTCCTCGTTCAGCTTTTAAATGCTCTAGAAAATCGCCAAAGATGTCCTCAGCAGGCCCATATATATCAGCCATATCAAAACTTGTCAAACCCGCATCAAAATACTTGAACATCTCTCGAGAGGCCTTGTTTGGATTAATCGGTCCATGACTACCAGAAACTTGCCACATTCCGTTTAAAATTCTACGAATTTCCAGACCATTTTTAAGGCGATAGAACGGTACCCTTGCCATTATAATAGCAATTTCCTCTAGTTGTGACAAAACAAAATTTCAGCTCTTCGACTTTGAAACGGTAACAGCACCGGCTGCTCCAGATTTGAAACCAGTCCTCTCACGGAGGACCCAAAGTCACTCACAGTCACGCGTCACCTGAGCTGCGCTAGTCTAAAGAGGGTTTGATGGTCAAGATTGACTTTCCTTGGGAGATTGGAACGGCCATTATTTGAAGTTTTGCAGAAGATTCCGAGAAAAGAGACGTAAACTTCATTGGAAAAATATTCATTTTCGTGATGAAATGAACTTTGTGTATTTAGATGTTCAATAAGGTCAACAAGGACTGTACTTCATATCGTCGTTGAGACCGGAAATAACATTAACCGGAAGCGTTGTTGACCTAGATCGCGTTTTGGGTTGCTAAGAGACCAAGACGCGAAGAAAAACTAAGGAAGTTTTTATTTACTTACTTTTTGATTGTAGTTTTAAAAGCTTCGTATGTCCGAGGAACTTCAGGTTTGGAGTAATATCCTTTAACATAATAGCAAGGAAAAATACCACTGCTGAACGCAACATAACCTTACTCAAATACTTTTGAAACATTTGTTCGTCACAGAACTCATTCAAACTATCAGGGAGATCGAAATGCTTACAAACGCGGGTAGATTTATAGACAGAAATCCCGGAATAATCCCGGTAAGTTTACGAGGAGATATATCAAAGAAATAACTAAATAACCTAATCCTCTAAAGAAGGCGAGCTGAAAGTTGCAAAACAGAATCCATGAGATTATTGAGACTAGCCACAGATAAGGAGTGTCTGTCGTTATGAAGTTCGTGGGTTAAATTTTCCCTGAATTTTACTTTTCATCCTTTTACAGGCGGGAAAGCTTTTCGATGTTTCAGGAGAGACAGCCGGTGGTAGCCTCCAAATACCACAGCGTGTAAGTTGGAAGCGAAATAATGTTACGCATTACTGTATTATTTGTTAAACCGTATACTCATGGATAAAGTTGCAGTTTCATATAAGTTCATGTTTCAAAAATGTAACTTTACTAAAACAATTTGTTTCAAATCGCGAATTATCTTAAAGGATACTAGACCAGAAACTGTTCGAAAGTTTAGAGGAACAACACAACCTGAGGCGGGCAAAGAGAGAGTGTTTTATGGCAGAGCAAATGATCCAGACGTAGCCTCGAGGATTACGCATGGAGTCAACACAAAATCTTCCCTTGTCGTATGTATCATATCCTATACGATATAAAAGTTTTAATTATCTCTCCCAAGGTAACTTTTAATCGTGTAGTTCCCGTAAAGTAATTGTATTGGTTCATTGTTTGATAGAAAGAAACTGTTTCGAGCGAGCAGAGTGTTAGTTGCAGATCGGCTTTCATATGTAAATGAACAGCTGTTAGAACTCACGCTTGAACAAAAACGTTTTTCCTTGCTAAATCCTCTGAAATTATGAGCTTAGAAGTTCCTTTCCCTCGTTCTGAAGTTAATGAAACCATGAGCCTTTATCCAGAGTAGATTTTTTCATCATTAGACAAAGCACACACAAAGCTTTACGTTGAGTAAAAATCCAGTGCGTCCTTAACCATTTATTTTCTTTCTCTACCTGATTTCTGCAACAGGCGGGCCACCTCGTAAATCCTTCAAGGAAAAGTCTTTTCTCTCAACGGATGCTTGAAAAGAAAGAAAGCATTTATGCTAGCAGGAAAAACGCTCCTCTAGGTAATTTATCAATGTCTTACAATCATTAAATGACAGATTTTAATTTTTGTTGTTTATTTTTAAATTTTCCCTGTTTTCATGAGTTTCATGTTATCTGTATTCTGTACAATCAGGGAGGTGTCATGACCAAAAGCCAGGTCTGCCTGATGGTGTTGGACCAACTGATGTGACTTATGGAGTCAAAACCATCAAAGGTACTAAATTTTAATATCACAATCAATATATCATACATCATATATTAATTTATAAATTTATTATTATCATTTTATTAATTTTTTATGTATGAATTCTTATGCTAATATTAATTCGAGATCTGCACATTGGCAATAAATTCTCAATAAACAGAATATTTGAAGTACTAAAATATGATTATTTTTGTCTCATTTAGATGGAAGTGCTGGAGAAATGGTCAGCCCTGCAAAAACAGCAGCCCAAGTAAATGCTGAGTCATTGGAGGGAAAGGAACTATACAAATTCAGCCATAATGACTTTGATGTTGGTATGTTAAGAGATGTTTGTTCATCATTACGTACTGACTTGAAACTTGTTAGATCAAGATGGCAACTTCTTCTTGATAAGTTTGAATATTCTTGTCACTCATTTGCTGGATAATGTAATAAATATTATAAGGAGAAGTTACACGGTAATCACCTCTGGAAGTAATAGGGTTAATTCTCCAAGTAGAGTTGTAAAGTTCCCCACCCTGAAGATGATTTCCTTCATTTTTCACAGGTGAAATGTTTGATAGAAAGTATGACTGGAGTAGAATACCAAAGGAGAGCAAATTTGGTGTGGAAACACCACATAACAATGATGGAATCCATGTAAGAAAAACTCTCAAGTGGCTTCATGAGACACAACAGTAAGTTTGATTAACATGAGCATGTACACATTTAACTATTAACTAAACTGGTTTCAAAGAATACCTTCTTCAGTTATGTATAGGTAATAACATGATTTTGAATGCAATTTGGTGTAAATAAGCACCAGTAAATTTTGAAAGACAACAAAATTTCCAAAGCCCACAGGGGGAGTGCAATTTGTTGTCTTCAAAAAATTTCTAAGGGCTTATTTAAACCAAATAACACAAGAAATCACGTTTTTACTCGTTAATGATTTACATGAAAAAACATCACAGTAAGTCAAGACACACAGAATTTTGACAGAGTACGTGCATGCACTATTCATGTTACATTTGTTGTTAAATGAAAAATGCACTCATTTTCAGCCAACCATGTGTGTAATTTTTTCATGTACATCAATTTCGATTATATCCTTGTACTTATACTAAGCCATAATCATATACCTTCATTACATATATTGTTTTTCTATTCCTAAAATTTAATTTCTATTAAGTTTACGAATATTTCTTCAGCAATAATCTTACAAAAGTAATGATAAAAATAATCATTTTTTGTAAAATAACCCTTAAACACATGCATATCTAAGTCATCTCCCTTTGTGCAGAGAAAAGGCAACAAAGATTGTCTCAAAACGTGTTGACGATTTCCGTGAGAGAACCCAGCCTCAACTTGGCCAAGTACACGATCCAATTAAAGACACCCTCAGGGTCCCACCAGATCATGCCTTTGGGGTAATGATTAAACCTGATGAGTATGGAGCAGGAGACCTGATCCACATGCGTGTTCCTAAAAATTATCTTCGAGGGCGTGACAGGGAAAGGGGAGTGCTTGCAGCTGTGAGACATCATTTGAAGAAGGCAAACTATCACAATTTCCATGACCTGAAAGCTGCATTTGGATACTATGACAAGGTGAGGAGGATTTTTTAAACAGACAGAGAGGTAACTAATCCCAAGGGGTATCCATGTAAAAGAGAAACAAAAATGAGAGCAATAATAAATTTTAAACTTAGTCATACCACATGTACTGACTCACTTGATTGTTGAGTTGAAGTGTAGCTTTTGATTTAACATGTTCAAATCATAAATAAATCATCACTATTAGAAATATTTATAATCACTGAACGCAAAATTGTGTTAAGATATGGCTTGTGCAAGATCTCGAATAATCTTTTAGTTACCATATCAAAGAGAATAAGTCTCCCTCAGATGATTTTTTCCAATAAAAGTGCATTGAATATTACATTATTATACCCCTGACTAAAGACTGTTTGGCTTGGAAACTGCAGTCACCACTATAATTGTAATTTCAAATGACCCCAGGAGTGGAGCTACAATGTAAAGGGCTGTAACTTAACTTATCCTCAATTTAATTACGAGTTATAATCAATCAAACACATTAAAAAGGGGAAAAAACTAAGTTTTTCTAAGAAAGTATTGACTTTTCCATGAAACATGTAGATTGAGCTAGCATGAAAAGTTACAACAATATACATATTAATTGTAGGACAACTCTGGAAAAATTTCACTTAATGAGTTGCGTGAGGTGTGCATCCACTTTAACCTTCCAATCGAGCCAGTGCTGTTGGAGTCCATGTTTGCTTATTGTGATGTGGATGGTGATGGACAGATAAATTATGATGAATTTTCCAACTTCCTTAACTGGAAAGACAAGATGCCATCCGGGGAGTTAAAGAGTACCATAACAGGAGTACAGAAAGATGAAACAGCTGAAGGAGAAGCTAAGGTAACCATGCATGTTTCAAGGTTTTGATTTTTTTCTCAAGATTTTCCGTAATGAAAAAGGGTCCTGTCATACTGGTTGAGTGGTTTAAATTGCCACTTCATGAAAAACTTTGAGATGCATTCACCTGGGCCCAGTTGTTCGAAGGCGGATTAGCGCTAACCCAGGGTTAAATTTTAATCTAGGTTTCTATTTTTCTCTGTTCAAAAGCTGTTTGAGGATAATTTTCTCCATTTATTTTCAGAGCATTCAATCAAAAAATTGAAGACATTTAAGCTGAATTTTTTTCTTCAAGCTTTCAGATCTTAAATCAAATTTTATACTAATCCTGGGTTATCTTAACCCAGCTTTGAACAACCCGGCCCAAGTTTGCAAGGGTTCTCTTCGTATAAGGCTCAGATCTTAAAGTACTGGGAAAGCCTTGGTCACTGAATGGAATGTGTTCTTGAGTTACAAAACTTCCTCTCAAAAGGATCTTTAAAGTCTAACCTTGGCTGAGTCATTTGGAAAATGATTAGCAGCTAAACCACATTTATATGTATTCAGCTGCCATGGCAACATACACTTTTTTATGTAATAACACCAAAACAAGCATCAATTTAGCATTTTTTGACAATGTGGCCCTGCATGCCACAAGAAGAATCAAGGATGAACTGTCAATAACTGGCAGGGGTATGTACCCTAGAAGATGATGAGCTAACACAATACTTCTAAGGGGAAGCCCTACTCTAATCCAATGGTCAAGTGGATCCTGTTCATAGATAGGTGTTTTCTGGACCTCTTACAGGAAGAAGAGAAGAAGACAGGTGCATCAACACCCACAAGACTTAAAAAACAGATTGACCAAGCTGTTGGTGGCTGGAAAACCTCTTCATCTCAGTTTAATGAAGTCACAGGCAAGATCAGAACAACAGGTAAGACTTCTATAATCTGGTTACCAACTCTTGACAAGTCATTATGATGCCTGTTTAACATTACCTCTTTAATAGCAGTCAATTAATAGTAAGTCCTCTTTGTACATCTATGCACATAAACTTCAGCCAGGGAATGTCCCTCATTTCCCATTCTACTGTAATCTCCTCCAAGTTTCTTTGTGCAAGGCCTCTCTCCTTTTCTCCATTGAATAAAGTACTTGTAATGATTGCAGGAAGTTCATGTTATCAACTAAGTAAAACTATTTCACTTGACATTTAGGTTGGCGAGCATATGGAGTTCCAACCATAAGATCTGATTTACCAGCACCAACAACACGAAGAGTTGCTGACCACACTGTAGGTCCATTTTCAAAAATGAATACATATGAGTAGAAAAATGTTATCAATATTCTTTGACAAACCATCCCACAAATTTTAAACTTTTTCACTGATAAGATCCAATTTTTTAATATAACTTTTATTGCATACATCTTTGTATGGTAAGAGACAGGAGTCTACCTGTCACTGATCAGCATAGAATTGTACTATTCAGTTGAAAGATACATACCAGATAATTTGCCAATCCAGGAAAAAGAAAAATTGGCCTATATACACCTGATATTGATCTTGCTATTCTGCTGATGACAATAACAATGAAAGTGCTCATAGAGAAAGTTAATTGTTCCCACAGAATTATGGAGATGAATCTGATGCCTATGGCCTTATCAACCCATCAATTTACAGCAATCATGGAGTTTATGAGAAGGATTTCTTTAGCGCCAGAGACCAGTATGAGGTAAATTTAATTATAACACAAGTTACTAAATGTTCCTTGATAGACTTTACATAATAAAGAGGGTCAAAACTAAGTACCTGTTCAATAACTATTTTATAATCCAAATGCATTAAGTAGAGTACAAATAACACATGAATTGAGTACAAAATATCGCCATATTGTACAGTTGGCTATTTTGTACTGTAAAAGAACCTGTTTAAGCGGTGGGCTGCATGCCCCATTTCTCTTGCTTCTCTCACTTTTCAAGAAGTGCACATGATATAAAGCAGTTGGATAATAAATAACTTATTACATGTTTTGTTGCAAAGTACAGTGTATCACTGAGTATTTTTACCCATTATTTGTATTTTGACTTGCCTTACTGGCTCATCAAAATAAAGCGCAACTCAACAATACTCGATATTACACAGCAAAACTTCTATTAAAATGGATAACTCAAGATAAATTTGCATCAGTACCTTTTATTTAATAATCCTAGAAAGTTTCATCAAGCTTGTTGATATTCAGCTGAAATTACAGACTTTAGTGTACATTGTAAGGATGGTATATCCTTAATTTCTTTTTTTTTTCCATTTTAATCGTCACTAAATAACTTGACCATGTATTCTCTTGTTATGAAATTTGTGTCAATTTCCATGTTTTTTTTTCTCCTTTTTCTTGTTGCACTCCAGTCACCATTTTGGAGAGTGGCTGATTTTACTTTGATTATTTAAAGAATTTTTAAGAAGTATGCCTTAGATCACTTGAGAGGCCTTTTCATTGTAGTAGGAGTTATTTTATCCTTTTTCTTCACTCCTGCAAGTGAGGCATGAGGCTGAAATTAACTTTTTTAAAAAAATGCTCTACACATTATTTATATAGTCTTTTTTTAAACAGATAAGGAGAATATTTGATGGGATTGGAGTGGAGATGACAAGTGATGCTTTTGAAAAGATCTGGGAGGAAGCTAGCACAAGACATCCCACTGGACTGGTAATAACAACTTTATTCAACTCTCTATACTCTTCTTCTTACCCAGCTCAAGGTTAATAACTAATCGACTATTAATTTTGGCAATCACTTGATGCTCTCAGGCCCTGCATTCACTTTTCTTCAACTGAACAGCCTCAAGAGGTTTTTTCTAACTACTACTGAATCAAGGGTAGATTGTTTCTGAAAACACAATTTCACTTTTTGAATAAAATAACTTTCACTAAGTATTTTCTAGAAGTTCAACTCTAGTTTCCTTTCCATCAAGGGAAGTTTGTTTCCAAGAACAAGAAAGTACTTTTTGGATAAAATAACTTCCACTGAGTATTTTCTATAAGTTCAACTCTAGTTTCCTTTCCCATCAAGGGAAGTTTGTTTCCAAGAACAAGAGAGTGCTTTTTGGATAAAATAACTTGAACATTTTCCTCAAGTTCAACTTGTGTTGTTGTTGTTGTTGTTTTTTTCAAACTCTAACTTGGCCTACCGTTATCTCTGCTCTAGGTCAGTGTAGAGACATTCAGAGGAGTAATGGATGAAGTTAATGCCAAGAAACTTGTTGAAACCCAAATGGCATGAAAACAGGAAAACATGAAAACAACAAATTGACTTTCCCTAACTTTAATAAAAATGCAGCAATGTTCAACACCAAAAATTGGACTAACTTTTTATTTTTCAATTTTCATTTGATACAATAGAGATCGTTGGTGACTAACAGTATTCATTTCTTTAATAATTAAAACTTACTAGTGAAATTGTATCTTTTTTTTAATATTCTTATTTTCCCATTAAATCTGTATCCATTCCATCTACCTATTTACATTTATTGAGCAGTCTTGAATTTGTGTCATTTGAATGGAAAGTAATAAATTAGGATAGCAACCTGTGTTAAAAAGATTGTAGCACATGAAAAATTTTGAAACATAACTTCAAGAATAAAATCTTATTGACTTGTAAATATATTATTCCGTGCAGTTCATATAAATCAAAATTATTTCCGTCAAGAGAGGCCATCAAACAACTCATCCCCCCACACATTCTTTGAAGAAATCAAATTAATTAGTTTGAAGATTGAAAATGATTTCAAAAGAAAAAATTCTTAAAGCCAACACAACAATTATTATCACAGACAAAGACTACCCTGGTATCATGTTCAATCTTCAAATAATCAAATGAATATATTGAGTAAAAATATAACAATACTATGACATCCACCTGACCTCAAGCTTGATAAGTACTGATCACTGTGTCCATTTCCTCACACATTCCTAATAAATTCAGCAGCAAAACTTTCAATAATTTAGTGTTCACTACATAGATTTCCCCATTTCATGGATGAACTTTGCTATCATTAATAGTTCACTTAGACTAACTGAAGTCACATCAAAATTCATATACCTATGATAGCAAATGAAAGTTTGAGATGAAAAGATTTTCTATACCTTATTTTCACAATTTTGTCACACAAAAAATTCTTACTAGTACAATAGCATAATACTATCAAAGGGTGATTTTAAATGAAGGTTCCAGAAATGTCAGATACCTGGTACCTAAATTTTGACTACAATTTAGCTTCATCAACAAGTAAAAAAAAGAGGAAATAATGAAGTCAGTATTTCCTGGTACTTTACACTCATTACTTTAAGCATTTTATTCAATTTAATAATCGAGAGGTACCTGTACATTTAATTCACACTAAATCTTAATATTATACCCTTTTCCTCAATGACTGTTACAAAAAAGCAAGGCAGTTATTAGCAATGCAAAGCTCCACAAATCCTACAAGAAAAAAGAAAAGGGAAAACAAACAAGACATTCCCTTCCATTTTTTTTCCCCTCTTCATTATCTCACCTTTAATTGGTTGAACCACAGGCCACTCAGATGTATGTAGTATATACAATCAGTATTTTCATATAACGCATGAGAATGTTTCAAAACTAAGAGTAGGATGGATGTTGTGCATGAAAAACAATTTCACCAAGCTTGACCAAGGAACAGTGATTCCTTCTCACTACCATTACAAGAAGAGTCAGCTTCTACAGAGTTATGAAGATGACTTTGTGTGTTAAATCTTGGTGCACATAACAAAAACTGCAACATAAACATCTTCAAGAGAGATTTGTTCAAAGTCCCACTTCAGGCACAAAACCTTTTGATTCCCTTCCATAACCTGATCAAATCCAACAGACAAAAGAAATGCCTTGGCAGGGTTTGATGAATGTGTCCATAGCCTTTGAAGAAGAGGATCATCTATTGATGTTGTCTTGCCTACCATTGTATTCTTGAGCTGAAAAATAATTGAAAAAAAGTTAGGCTAACATCTGCTGAGTTCAAAAGAAATGCTTGAGGGGGGGGAATATAAGAAATTCATCCATTTGAACAGTGGGATGAGGAGTTAAAGTTTCAACAGGAAGTGATGAGCTTATGACCTTGGTGTACTCCCCAAGGGGGAAAGGGTGAACCAAATATTATAGTGACCTAACTATCAATTCTTAATTAATTGAATAATATAATTAAAATTATTTACAAACCAGATACAACAGTGGCTCCAGGTATTGAGAAGTCACTTCTTTTATTGTCTGACATTGAGCAGCCGAGAGTTCTACAATTAAAAAATAATCATAACTTTAGTGTTCCATTACTAGTCTTAAACCCAAATTAAAACTTCGTACAAAAAAAGGTGTCAAAGATGAATCACATTCAAACTCACCAACAAGAGCTTCTGCAAGAGCAGTGCAACAAAGTAGCAACCCATCATCAGAATCTTGGGAGAAAGTCAAACTGCCTTCTCCTGAATCATCAATATTGAATCCTATCAGAAGTAGAAGTTCCTTGAGAGATCCAAAAGCTGGTCCAGCCTTGGTTTGGAATTCTTTCATTTCAAGTGGCTTAAAACTCTTCTTTTCAACAGCTGATAATGCTTTCTCCAACTGTTATTTTGTTAAATAATTATCATGGTAAGAAAAATACTCTCCTACGTTAAATATCAATTAGCTAAAATGCCACTCTGATGAATTACACATTACATCTAAATACACTCGGAAATAAACATTAATTTCATATTTCTATGAAGACGGTGCACCCCTCCCCAAGTAATGAATCAGTGTCTACTTAAGACAGAAAATCAAAGAAAAGGACATTCACAGATGAGTATAAAATAAGAAACTTGCTGCACGGACAATGAATCTAAAATATTAAATATGCATTAGGGTATCCCTTTAAGGCCCTGTTTATATGGAGAAAAGTTGTCCTGGGTAGAAGAATCACTCACCCACCTGAGCTACTCTGGGCCAGCCAAGTTAACTAACTTTCCATGACTTGGCTGGCTCTTAGCTCAGGGAAAGAGGTAAATTTTTTTTTTATATGAACACTCGCTAAAGTTGACTCAGCTGGGAGGGTAACTCTCTTACCCCAGACAACTTTTCTCCTCATAAACAATGGGTTTAAGTTTAATTTTCTATTGTTAGCATTTCCTCTTTCTTCTTGATACTGAACAGGTTAAGCAACAAGAGGACTTTGTTGTCAAGAAGGTAAAATCTGGAATGGCTTAGAAGAAGTTACATACCCAACTGTTGTGCATTTTAACCAACCTGTTCAACATTTACTGAACATTTAATAAGAAACTCTCACCATGTCCCTGAGAGGTGCAACTGCCTCTGGATAGGAAAGAATTTCCTTATAGAGACTAATGATCTTGCCAAGGCGTGGAGACTTCAGAAGGTCATCAAAGACAGCTGTTAGGGCCTTATCTAAAAGATGTTTTTCATACAAAAAATTGAGTGAGCAATCCTTTCACTTGTTGAGTTTCAAGAATTCCAAGTGATTACAGGTAGTATTAAGTCTTAGAGGTACTACAGGAGATAAATTTTTACTGGTTACCGCCTAAAAAGGAAAACACTGATCATAGTATCTTAATTGATAAACATCAAAAGAAATTCAGGAAGTTAAAAATTTTTTTGATGAACTGGACTAAGAAAACAAGGAGGGTTACTTCCTTTTGTCATTTAAACTATGGATTTCCAAGCATCTCCAGGCCTGAGAAAAGCCGTAACATCACAGGTGAAAAAAATTAGGATATTTTTTCATGTGTGTTTGATATTGCCAATCAGATGCTGACACCTCACTCGCCTTTCACACCAGTTGGTCAGGTTGATGAATGAACAGATTTTTCACTTACAGACAGTGATGTTCAAACTTTTCTAGAAGGGGAAGAACACTAAAATACAAAAAGAAAAACTGAAAATTATATTTGTGGCTTTGGTGATGGCATTTCTTGCAGCTGAGAACAAAAATCATCAACTGGAAGATTCACCACAGGCTGATTTTGGCTGTGTAACTGAAAGATTTCTTCTATTGGTAAGGACAAAGTCAATAACTGAGAATTTTGTAGCTTGAAAATTATGCCCATTGTTGCTTTTGTAGTGATTCAACTTATTTTTTTCATCTTGAGCCTTAGTTCCACTGCACTTTACGATTTTTAAGTGAGGATTGTCCATCCTTTACTTTTATTCATTAATGAAGTTGAATTTCCTTGCCAGTAATGGCTATTGTGTTTATATGATAAACAAAATAATACATAATTGTTTGAAGATATGGAATTTCTCAACTCATATTCAACTCAGCATCTCACTCATTCACTATAATCACCTGTGAGCTATCAAGTTAAGCACATGAAGAGAAATTCCACATCTATGTACACCCATGTATTATTCTCTATTTCTGCCCTGGTCTAACTGCAGGATATTCAAAAAGATAATTAAAATAATAATAATAATTCAATAATTCAATAATTCAAAAGCAACAACTCTTTATAGTTACCTTTCTGCCCATCTGGTTCATCAAACAAACAATATTTCTTTCCAATCTCTCCTCCTGCATCTGTCTCATCAGGTAGAACCAGCTCAAAGGTTCCCATGTCTGGGTCAAATTTTACTTCATAACAAGCATATCCTAAAATTGTATTACTAGGAAGTTCATATGAACGGTGGTGTTCCAATTCTATTGAGCCAGTCAATTTAATGAAGAACTTGGGTTTACCAACACTCACACCTGCATCACCTGAAAATTTAAACCATAAGCTAAGTTTTTTTGGGGGGTACATTTTTATAAGGCATATGTTGAAAAAAATTGTGAGTCAAGAGTAACTAAACCATGACGTTTGTACCTAGGATATTATACTGCTGGTTGAAATTTCAAGTGAGACAGCCCAAAGACATCATTTGAAGTCAAATAATTGTAAGTGTGTGACCTCAGAATGCCTTAGTGCTTCACCACATAATCCCCAGCCAAAAATCATCAAGTTGCATTTTCTCCATACTGTTCTTTATAAATTTCCTTAGGTGCTAAAAATGAGAATTTGTTTAACAATCAAGATCTTTTTAGTTGTTGATTACTTCCTTTATTCTCATATTCTTAACAAATGTTTCAGGGGTGATATAGTAAGGAGAAACTAGATGTCAATCACTGTTCAAAGAGTTAAAAGCAGTGAATATAGCTGGTTGATGGCCTCTTGAAGGCCACTGGTATAAACAAGCCTAATACATGAATTTGGTAGACTGGCAATGGTACTTGTGCCAAAAGTTATGGGAAGGAGAAAAGTGCTGAAGTTAATTTTTGCCTCTGCAGCATGCTGAGAAGAGAAAAAGGTACAAGTAGCAGGTGAATAATGATTACAATTACAATGGCCATGTCTTTTTCTTGTCTTGTTATTGTGAACTAGATTCATTACATTGAATAATTTTATTACGATTTGCCTCTCTTGGGGAAACCTTGGATGGGGTTCATCCCAAGAAAGACAGATGGTTTTATGTGTTACCCCCCCTAAAACTTAACCCTTTGACTCCCTTCAAGTTAATAGCGTCTAATCTCTCTTTACAACATCACCCCTGAATCAAGGGAAATGATTGCCAGCTAAAGAAGCTCTTGACTGTTGAACAAATTCTCCTTATAGGCTTCTTTAGAAATACACAGAGAACAGCATGGGGAATATGCTTAATGTTGCTACAGTAAGGGTGGAAAAGGTTAAAACCAATATTTAAACCAGCATGTAGGCTTCACCCCTTTCGATATATTCTACATTTATTTTCATTTATTTTTTTTTCCTTCCTTTCCAGCAAAAGAACCAGAAAGAGTAAGCTTCAAGTGTATTTCATGAAGCAACATTTCATAACTGTCGTGATATCTATAAAACAGAAGACTGTCAAACCTTCTTCCTTGGAATCTGAATCAAGATCTGTATCTCCTTTAGTTGCAACTGTTTCATAAATGATACAGAGACTTCTTCTTTGTTTGGCAAGAATGTACTGCACATATTCATGATCCAGATTCAATGTTGTGTCTGCTAGAACCTTCTTCAAGTTATCCCAAGTGACTTCTCTTTTCAATACAGTTCCCACATTCATGCTGATTGTAAATGAGTCTATTGCAGAAGCATCAATTCCAAACTCTGATGCAATTTTGCCTCCCAGTTTACCACTTACATGGAACTTTGGTTCATTTTTGTAATCAGAGATGAAAGTGGATTTTTCAATATGACCTTTGATAACAACTGGCTGAGGAACAAAAAAAGGAGAAAATTCTGGTAATAAGAATAGTAAAAGGATTTGCACGTCATTCCTGTGTATAGTGCTGATCAGAAATACTTTGCTCTCAAGTTCAAATATCAAGGAGACACCAACAGAAGGTATTAAAAGCATTTTCAAAAACATCATCCAGAAAACTCGAGTTAAATGGACAGGTGAGCAAAACAGCTGAAGAGCATTATTTCTTTTCAAACCTATCCTTTATTAAAATGTTTCCTTTATTAAACTGCTGATTTAGAAGCTGCCTTTATCAAGGTGGCATTATCATACAGGGCGTGAAATTGCGCCTAATACAGGCGCCATTGCAACTAAATTTTTCACTTTGGCGACCAATCCTGAAAATTAGTTGCCAAATTGGCAACTAGAATGTTTCATCATAACCTTACTTAGAGATATAGTGAATTTAAAAGATTTGCAAAAGATAAATCCATGGCAAACTTCCTCATTAAGTCTGTTTCCAAAACGTAGCACATGCACCTCAATCAATGACTAGATGCCATTTTGGATTTAGGATGTAGGTGAGCTTGAAGGTTGTATATCTTCCATCCTAGTGTCCACTCTGTAGCAGGTGAAAGATCTTTTTCCTAACTTAATTTTGGAGGGCCTATCTAGTGCCTTGACAGTGTAAAAAAAGGTTTTGTTTGTCTTTGAAAATGGCAACCAGCTTTTTTTTAATTGGCTACCACTTTGAAGAATTTAAGAGCCAAGAGGCGATCAGAAAAAGAAAAAAAATTAATTTTACACCCCGTCATAAGATATCTTTTAAATGATACCAAGAAAACAATCCTAGTAACCAGGCCTTCACTGCAATTTTCTAATCCTTTTCTAGGCAAGTTCATGTCCAGTTATTCCACTGGAAGATCAGACCCTTCTTAATTCTATAAAACTGGTATATTCTGTGCAAATAAATATTAAACCTGGTGCCTTTTTTTCAAATGTGGTCTTGGCGAAAAACACCTTTTAAATTGAAAATCATATACTGCAATCAGCCAAAACATTCCAAGAAACAAAGCTTCTGCTGTATTTTCTGATCCTTTTCCAAGAAAGTTGGTATTCAGTCACTTCATTTGAAGACATTTCTTTAAATGTGCATGTAAATATTATGACCTGATTATTTCTTTGAATTTGGACATGAGGCACAACAAATTTTTAACAAGTATAAATATACTATGTAGAAATATAACATATAGATATATATAACATATATATATGTATAGACACCCATTTTCAAAAACATTTCGATTTGAAAAAAATATATGACATATATAAAAATTTTGTTTATCATCAAAAAGTGTCTCTTTTTTATGAGAAAACAGGGATAGCTGCGTAGTATTGTTGAGTACCCACTCATGTGTGGGAGAGGCATCATATGATATTATCACAATTTGATCACACCTTACATTCGCATCGAGTCCGAAATCGTCACTTTTTGGGAGGATTCTCTGTCAAGATACTGAAAATTTTTGTGAACGTCTCTTTCAAGGCACGCTTAATGAAGGAAAGGAGCCACTTTAGAATACCCGGCCACTCGTTTACATGTCATTGAATAAGAATTATGTCTATTGTGTTATGCCTCGATCTCCCAAGCCTTCCGACAAATGTAAGTGACCGGGTATTCTGCAGTTTAGATGAAGGAAAAAAAAACGAAAAACACCTTGTAACGAAAAAAACACCTTGAATTCGAAAACTTCAATTTATTAAAATACAAAGCTCGTACTCGCGAACCTCCCCAAGAAGCAAGATTTAAAAGGCTCACAATGGCCAACATATGTTTCTATATGTCCATATCCTACACACCGTTTTGGGTGAGGGCCTATTATCTCCCCTAAAATCTTATGTTAATATTTTCTTCTAACCTTCGTTAACAGCTCATTCAAAGTAAAGGGTGTAGACTTGTATGTGTCTGCCCTCCAAAACCAACGGCTTTTTTTTCTCGTTACAACACATAGAATACTACAACGTGTCGACGTATTTAAATCAAGAATTGGACGAAGGGTCGATCGCCCTGTATCTTTGATAAACTGTTTGGAACAGGCTTCGAACAGCGCCATGTTTACCATGAAAATAGAAGATGATTTAAAAGCATGCTGGGAAATGTTTGCAGTGACATCTGGCTGGTTAACTATTCGCAAATATCCTATTAAAACTGCATTTTCATGCTCCTGACAATCACGTTTTTTGTCCAAAAATGCTCAAATCATGCTCATGTTTCAAAATTATGTTCTTTTGTTTTGAAAAATTCTTTGTTTTATTTTAAAGAAAAAAATACATGAAAGGCATCTTGAGTGTTTTACGCTATCTGATTAAAGTGAAAAACATCTTTCTGTTTCTTTTACACCTACATAAGACTTGGTAGTCATAAAAATTACATTTTCCTCGACCGTCTAAACACTTGTAACGTTTTTTGCCAACAACTGATCCGTTGGTTGGTCTTATTACTCAGGGACTTTTTGCTCGGGGAAGGGGAGGGGGAATGTCTTGAATGTTTGTGTAACTGTGGTTTTTGTTATCTTTAAATGTGTCAAAAACAAAATTAAAATAAACTTATGACAATGCTTGTTTCTATTGACCTTCTCTCCGGCAAATTCATGTCAGGTGCGTATCTAAAATTGAACATTTTGAAAGTGGAAAAAAATATAAATAGCATCAAACATTGATTAAAAACATATATTTTATGTCTACAATCTGAATTAAAGTCTTCTAAAAATCAGACGCAGTTGATCTGTTTTCCATTAATGACAATTGAAGGACTTGGAAGCATATCATTAACAGGTGGATAAAAACGTTACTGTGATCAACACACAATCATAATTGAGCAATAGAAATCCTACTCTAATTGGGGAAAGAAATATATTGTATCTTTTACGGCGGCCTAGAGCAAAATTTTGAATCTATCGAGGGAACTTTTTGAGTATAAAGACTGACTGATATATTTCTATTGATGACGGTATATTTTCAAACAGTTTAAATTTATATCCAGGGACATTTTGGGAAGACAACTACGGATAAAATATGGCAGACTGCTTGAGAAAAGGATTAATGATAATCAATGCAGGACACCCTCTCGAACTTGCCAGGACTGTATGACGTAGTTGGCAGTTTAAATGCGCATTAAAAGAAAATAACGGTATCTAAGGCAGTTTCTACTGGGATGCTACTTGAAAAGTACGATTTAACTGCGTGTGGGGTTGAACAGTTTTAATTGAGACCTAATATCTCTCATTGCAATAACAGGTAACTTACAGGAGAAGGGAATCAAACGTTTATTGTGCTGCGCAATGATGGCGACAACAAATTTAATCGGAGGTGAAATACAGTTACTTTTGTAAGATTTGCATTAACTAACTAATTGGTAGATTATAGTTACATTATCGACCAATTTCTTTCACAGCGGTGCACATTTTCTTCTCCGTGACAGCATTTCTTGGGAATTCTCTGATCATTGTTTCCCTTTACAAGGAATCTTCCCTTCATCCACCGTCCAAACTCTTGTATCGTTGTTTGGCAACAACTGATCTTTTGGTTGGTCTTGTTGCTGAGCCTCTCTGCGTTACTGTGAACGTTTTGGATTCCTGGACTCTCGAACACCGAGGAATTTTCCGATACGCAAATGAAGCGGCAGTCATCACAAGCTTAGTGTTATGTGGAGCGTCTTTATTGACGATGACGGCCATAAGCGTAGACAGATTGCTCGCCCTGTTGTTGGGGCTGAGATACAAACAAATCGTAACTTTGAAGCGGACATATATCGTTGTAGCAACTCTTTGGGTTTCAACTCTTGTTGCTTCTTTGTGTGCCATATTTGACCACCATATAATGGTTTTTAACGGCAGCATTTTAATCCTAATTTGCCTTGTTATCTCAATCACCTCATACACAAAAATCTTCTGCGCTCTTAGTCAACATCAGGCTCAAGTACAAGATCATTCTCAACAACAGCCGATCCAGCCAAGTGCACTGAACATGGTGCGGTACAGAAAGGCAGTGTATAATGCACTTTGGGTTCAACTAGCATTAGTTGTTTGTTATGCACCATATGGTATAGTGGAAATAGTGCTCAGTAAAACATATTCATCGCACTTATGGGCCTTTAGGGACATAACAATTGTCTTAGTCTATTTTAACTCGACGTTGAATCCGTTCCTTTACTGCTGGAAGATCAGTGAAGTAAGGCAAGCAGTAAAGCAGACCATCAGGCAAGCACTTTGCTGTCCATGGAGTTAGATCCCCTTCGAGTCACATCAGTTAACATTTTAAAAGCTGACTTAAGAGGTCACAGGTTTCCTTTTTTTTTTTTTTACAAGGTCGTAGGATATTTTATTGGAAGGAAGGAATAAGAGACTTAATGAAGTCGTTGCGCAAGCTGTTGTTGATAATCTTCATTTCCATATCTTAACCCTTTAACTCCCAGATAAAAATTTGTAATTCTCCTTAATCTCACCCATACAGTTCTTATAATGTTAGTTCAGAGAATTTAGTATTGGATCAACTAATTATTCCCAAACTGATATTTTTCTTTATTCTCATCACTTATTCTCATCGCTAATTCTCATCACTTATCACTTGTATTGATATTGTAAGGAGAAATTCTGTCTTGGTCACTCATGAGAGTTAAAGGGTTAAGAATATTTTCCAAACGACGACACTTGTCCCTAATACGACGGTACATAATTAAAGAAAAAGGTAAAAAAAAGGTATCAAGCATAGTGTAGAAAGGAAAAAGATATTTATTTCATTTTACTGTTTTGACTAAATTTCTTGTTAATATAAAAATATAGGGTGAAAATGACATCTTTTAGAGTTATTTTTACTGACAGTAATGAAAGCGCTCTACTGTCACACGGCTAGCTGTAAACTTAATTAATGCTTATTAATTTTAGAGATGTAATTATTACTCGTAAGTAAATGTGTGACTCAGCGTTAAAAATTGATCATCACCGGTTCTTAAAGAGTTATTTTTAAAAATTTTGGTTTTTTCGAAATTTAACGTATCACTTCACCCTCTTTGCTCTGCTACATATGACTTTCTTCCAAAGAAGACGAAGTTTCATCTTATTTTGTGATTTCATTATGTTCGAGTCTTGATGGAAATTAAATCCTAAATTAAACTTTACCTACTATACAAACACGTAGATGTGACACACATTAAATTCCCGCCTTTAGGGCAATCTCATAACGGGCTCTGAAATAGCTAATAATTAAAACATAGGTGTAGCAGAAGGGGAAGGAAGAGTGGGTACAGAGAACCAGTGGAACAGTGATTTGGTACCACACATTCATTTCAAAAACAATTTTCTGCTGGAAACCAAAGTGATCTCAGAGTGAGAGAAGAGACGCTCAAAACAAGTTAGTAATCCGCTTGATTTGCTTAAAACTACTTTGCTTAAAAATAACGCCCAGCCGGAAAAACAAAATTTTATTATGAAGAATGGCAACAAAGCTAGGGACGTTCTCGGTGACTCACAACAGCGTTACCGAACGTTAAGAACCAATCAGATGGCAAGATTCGTTACCGCGCCCTTTAAGAAAATAAATGAATATTTAGATCAACTCACTCTTTCGAAGTCACTTCGGAAAGACAGGGGACGTGCTCAACATTTTTCAATCGACGCCAAAATTAGTCATTTTACTTCACTATTGTTTTGTAGAGGAGACCAAGAAAATCTATCGACTCGCATGCACATAGATTGTTTCTACTTGTTAAACCCTTTGTTATACGCCTTTAAGGCTTTGTATTCATTGAAACGATGCAATTCTTGAATTTCCTTTTATAAGCACTCGGTCTCCTGCTTAAAACCTGTTCAGCCTGTCTTTTCGCGTACACGTCCCATACAGCGTCTACTGAATTTTTTAATCGGTCTTTCGTCTTTGGTTCCTCGCAGATACAACAAATGAAATCAACCGAATTGTTTCTTCACCACGATGGTTTTGTAAGCGATGGAGTGCAAAGTGCGCACGGAAGAGAAAACGCACAGCGAGGGGGGAAAAGTTAAATCCTCTGGGGTCTTTTATTTCACTCGCATAAAATCTTTTGTTCCGACACGCGCGAGCTGAAGCAGAAAACAAAATTACAAAAGTATTTCTCCGACTAAGATCTCACTCTCAAGGCAACCCGGAATTTTAAGAGCAGTCACTGTTTGCGCATCTAAAACCAATTTTCAGTGATTTAGCACTGACATTTCTAGTCGTTCATTTCCAGTTCGTTTTTATATCTCCTCTATCCGATTTATCCACTGGCTCCCGAGTGTCTTTCATTCATTTGCAATTCGTATCAATCTTCTCCGTCCATAGTCATCCTTTTCCCCTCTTGTTACTTTTCACCTATTTTTGTGTTTTTCTACCTTACCGAACTTATATATTGTAGTCATTTGTAGTCTTCTCCAGTCTTGATCATTCATCTTCCTTCTTGTTTGATCGTTACTTCTTTATCAAACTATTATCCTGAAGTCATTTACAATCCCTGTCAGTCTTCCATAGTTATCCTTGTTGCTTTTAGATTTCATTGTCTGACACTGCATGTCACGATACAACGTCTTCGAGTTGCAAGAATTTTGCAACTCTAAAAAGTGTGCTCTTGTAAACCTAATCTATACTCCTAAAAAGGGCTATGATAGATATCTACACTAAGGGTAGTTACCTCCGCCGTTCTTGTAACAAAGATACGGAAAATGCCAAATGTCCCTCAGCCGACAGCATAACTGATACACGACGCTGTGAAATCATTTTTCGAGGTCAATTTTTCGCGCTCTTCATCATGGCTTGCATCGGTGCTTTCGCCCACCTTTATAACAACAGCTTTGGACTTATTTGTCATTTGTTCAACTTCTTACTTTAAATCAGCTTCTCAAATTCAAGCTCACATCTTCAAATGAATCTGCTTCCTTGCTGACGGAAACCAAAGCGAGAAGTCATAATGATGTCATAGATGGTAATGATGCAATCTGGTGCTGACGTCATTGATCAACTGACTGTTATGGCGGGAAATTGAGTATAATAACAACCCTAACTCTCTCTTGATCGAGCAGCTCTGTGATCAATTTGCTTCTTTATTCAACATT